AAAAAAATCAGTTTTTGGTTAACCGAAATCGAGAAAGAAAAAAAATATTGGTTTTGTTCCCAAAACCGGTTTTATTCAAAATTTTTATTCGTTAAATTAAAGACTTTAATAATATCGGATCACACACAGGACACAAATAACGATTTATCCTCGCTAGTCTATAGACTAATACGACTAATAAGACGAATAAGACCGCTTACGCGACGCCGGTCAATTGAAAAAACTATTTCGGCTCGTCGCTCGTGCAATGTTCGAAAAAATTCGGATTCGCTGCATGACTAGGTATATAAATACTACAACGACCTAATCAGTTTTTATACATTTCTTATTTCTGAGAAACTCTTTTTAGGTAGATTAGATTAGAGAAACTGTTTTTACTTCGTATCTTAATGAAAACAAACCGATTGTATTTTTGCCCAGTAAACAACTTGTAACGATTTGGCCGCCTCTTAATTTCGGCCGCCTGCGTGCGGTGCACGCAATGAACGCCCGTCAGGCACGGCCCTGCGTGTGCGCAATATATGTTATCAATCCTGATAAATCCAGATAATTCAAAATACAACAGGATTGGTGACAGTGTCGTGAATTATCATCTACATCACCGATATTTTTACTTATTGTTTTTTTTTTCAAGGCGCATCAGTATATATTAATGTCTTTTTTGAAAAGCCTTTAATGGCTGCGTTTTCTTGACGAGTGGGAGTGCCGGTTGCCCTTTCCCTATTCCCAATTACCCATTTCCGTATTTTCTATCATTTCCACATTCCTAAAAAACCAAAGTCGGCAACGCCTCTGCAACAGAGATGTTGCCGATGTCCTTGGGCGACGGTCACTCCTGCCCACCAAGAAGTAGGCCATCTGCTTGTTTGCCACCTATCTCATAAAAAAAACTCATCGAACTCATCACTAATATATAAATCGAGAGAACTCAACTAACAATAAAAACGAATCTTTTCTAGATTTTAGCCTTCCTGATATGTAATTGTATCTGTTTACCTACCTCTCTACATCAATAAGAAAAATAATACACAGAATTTTCTCTTATATATTTAATAACTAATACTTACAAAATAAATATTAATATTAAAAACAAAAATGAGCTTAATATAATTCAAACGAGTGATTTTTTTATTTAATCAAAGTTAATAAAACAAACTCTTTTAATTGAATAACTGTTCCTTAAATATAAGATTTACGTTTGCACCAGATTGATTTACATTTTTAAAGCTAAAAACAAATTATACTATGTACAAAATCGCTTGCCATAAGTAACTTTCTGATAAACAATAATAATAATGTATTTTTATTAATTTGAATAATGGCAATACGTGACGGCTAAAATAAAATATTTCCACTGTACTAATAATATTTCCACTGTCGCTGACAGATCCGGGGTACACCGACATAGCGGCCGATGGATTTCGCAGTGGTTTTAGTGAGTAGGGGCCTGCCCAGGCCGAGCCTCACACATCCCTTCCGGCCCCACCAAGGCCGGTTGGACGGCTCGTAAAAAGAGTTTCCCTGCGTCATCAAAAAAAGGTACTAATATAATCTAACGCCAATACAGAGGTTGTCGTCAATTTTTTTAAATAAAAGATTTCGAAGAACTTTCAACAATTCAAAACTTTTAATACTTCGCTAGTTCCAAAATTATAGCTATTTATTCAAACCATAAAAAATCAATATAATGGGATTAAAAATAGCTCAAAAACATTATGATTACTTTTAATCATACAGATAGGTAAAAATAAATTAAAAGAAGACAACCCATATCGTCGAAATAATCTACCTATTGAATCCGTAAATAATAATAATTTACCTATTTCAGGTAAAATTTTTTTATGGCAGTAAACATTTTGTCTTTTCATCTATCTTATATGTTCGATAATTATTTAACCAAAACTAATTAATCAGTAAAAATTCGCTATACTTAAAATTTAATCTAAAAAATCACGTTCGTTTCAAAAAGAATTTTAATAACCCCTTTTATCAAAACTGAAACAAAGTAAAGAGATGACTCGAAAAGGCTATAACTATTTTATCATCAAACTTATTAGTTCTCACAACTTTCGAAAATGTTCTCGAAAAAATATTAAGGTAAATTAGTTTTAAATGATTTTTGTATCTAAAATGCTGCTTACGATATTACAAATAGAAAATCACTTCAAGGTCCTAATAAAAGTGAATATAAAATTAATTACATATTAATATATACTTATATTTTTTAACAATCCACTTATTACAATGAACCCGGATAACATTGAAATCGGATCTCGAAATCAAATTACCGTTTCAATCAATTCTAGAAATTGCCGAGTTTGAATTGTATGAATAATCAGGAACAGATTGCTTGGCCTTACCTGTACGCACCTGATGTACAACATTGGAATAGTCTTCAACTGGTAAAGATACCATTAACATATACATAATATATACACACATATACAGGGTGACTGGTGAATTACTATCGATACTTGAGGACGTGATATTTGACGATCATATATGACAAATTAAAAATTAATATAACAAAAATATTAATAAACTTCTAAGTAAAGTTAACCAAAAGTTATGTAATTAATTACGCATCGTGTGGACACCCTACAGATTAGGTATACACACACACACACATACGCGTGCAGCGCGGTCATGTTGTATCAGCACGCTGTCGCACGCGTCCACACTTGGAACACTTGGAACGTGTCCACACTTTATTTATTTATACGGAAATTTGGTCAAAAATTAAGTACCTATTTTTTTTACATGATTCGAATGAGAATCATGTACCGAGTATTCTCCTTAAATATTGATAGTAATTCACCAGTCACCCTGTAGAAGAAGAATTACAATAGTTTTTCCCGTCCTTATACGATGTTTCGTCTATAAAATATGACGTAATATTTAAATGTGAGATATAAGTAGCATTTTATATTAATTAAAACTTAATTAAAAATATATATATTTATAAAAATCTTTGGCTAACATTAAAAGTGAGTCTTTATATAAACCTCCTTGCTTAGCTGTCAAAACAACTGTCAAATATACGAGTAGCATTATATAATCTGTTAATTATATATTCTTTACATTATCTGTTGAATCCTGGTCGTCGTGTGGGTCAAGGACCAAGTCCCGCGCCCCGTCCCATTAGAGCCGATGATATTTCAATTATACGCCTTATGAAATAGTTGTACCGTCGGAAGTCGATTTCGCGGATGCTCGTAATATCAATGGAGGGCGCACGGCGATCGGAATTTTCACCTCACACACCACATTGAGGAGATCAGCGATTTTTACACATACTAGATACTTAGGAACTTCACAGAGGTTATATATATAGCATTAATAGTATCTCTTGCCACAGATAATAGAAATAACATTGACAGTTAAATAAAAATAAGAAAAATTAATCTTAAATATTCGTTTTTTTGAACGAGAATCACAACTGAACTAAAGATAATATTGTCAATTTTTGTTAATATGTTTTCAAACGCTACATCACCCGCTCCGCTTATCACCGTATCATATGTATAAAGTGTTTCACGCGCGAAGCCACCTCAGGAATGACAGATATAGCGTACCGGCCGCCTTTTAATTCTACAGAGGACCACATTTAAAGAATTCCATTTATTATTTATTTTATTCTTGCTTACCTGCTTTAATATAAAAAATTATTATTTTCCATAACAAATTTATTTATATTACATCAAACATTTAAATGAAGGTAATATTTTCAGATTACTACGCGTATTTTATTATTTTTAACTACATAATCCCGCCGTTTTGGTTACTTTGCAACCGTGATCACGGGCAGACGAGAGTAATCCGAAAATAGTTTCATTTAAATGAATATTCACGAAAGTCTTAGTTCTCATTACGAGAATCAAAGATATATGTTATTAAATAAATTAAATATAACAATTGTATGTAAAAATATCAATATATTTGATGTGATTATGTAAAACGTAATCAATCCCGTCGGGTAATCTGCGGTAATCTGTTGAAATCTTCGTCATCTAGCGCTAATCAGCCTCCAGGCTCTAACTCTGTTACAGCGCCCATTAAGCAACACCTGTTGATTACAGCTTTGATATTGTATATTTATATTTAATATTTTTTAATATTATATTCATTTATATATAAAAAATATTCTATAAATATTGTTTGGAATTATGTATTTTATTTATTGCGATATTTAGTAACCAAATAATTACTTAATTAAAATATTAAAATAGCAAAAAGGTTTTACTACTTGTACTTGCCTCCTACAATTTCATTCTATCTTATTGAGGCATTGTGTAAAATGTATATGTTATCTTGATTATAAGATGTCATACTTAACTATTCAGTTTTTTTTTAAATTTAAAGGTAATGAGCAATAATATAAGTATTTACAATATGAGCAAATGATTTCTGAGATTTAAGCTTATTAGTAACTTATTATGCTGATACATATATAAAAATGGTAAAACCTATATTAAGTAGATATTTAAAAAACCTACATTATTTTTTAAAATGTGTATATATTTGTATATTCTATATAAATATTAAATGTCAAATCTTTGAAAAAAATTACTGTCATTACATGAACCAAAATTATACATTTTATAATCACTTTTATTTATTTTTGGAAGCATCGTCTGAACTAAGTTAGTATTAAAATAAAAACTATTAAATGTAAATAATTTTACTTCTATTAATTATATTATAGTTAGAATTTAAAAAGTATCTTTGTACATAGTTTTGTTAGAACTGATCTTTATCTCATAGAATAATTAATTATATGTACATAGTTTATTGTAATAAACAATATTTAAAAAACTATTATAAACATTTAAAAAAAAGTTTTTTTTTATTAGCTCGTATCACAATTCAGTAATATGAAAATATACAACCAAAGTATGATTTAAATATAGATAATATTATCACAAATAGGATTAATATGAAATACCTTGTTCAACTAACTATATTTATATTAAAAAAAATATATTTCTAGTTATATAACAATGGTCGTGGACACAAAATGTACATTCGGCACCCGAATGCCGATAGACATACACATGTTGAACGAAATGATTTACAGAGAAGTGAAACACTTCAGGAATTATAAGATTTACAGACCTAACTTTGGATGTAAGTATAAAAACATTATTTGATGCTTCTCAATTGATATTATCATCATCATCAGCCTATCAGAGCCCACTGCTGAGCAAAGATATCTTCTCACATGGAGAAGGTTTGAGCATTAATCACCAAGTAGTAATAATACATCGAAATTAATTCTACTGATATTTTTTCCTTATTAAATATCAAAATGTCATAGAGATGTATGCTAGATATTTCATTTAAAATAAAGTATCTTTTGTCCACTTGTTTGTTCGGGAAAATATAGGCTTTAATTTCAAAGAAACTATATTGATATATAGTAATAATATTTTTTTCTTAAATTGCAATAATATTTGTTCTATAAGATTTGTAATAGGTAACAGTAAAATACTAAATATTAATTTAGAACTTGTTGTCTTATCGTAATAAATTTACCCTTAATTTTTTTTTCGGACGATATTTTTTGTTTTTATTTTTTTATAATGTAGCATTAAAAATACAAACATCCCAAAATTTTTATGGTTTATCACCAACACCTATTTTTTTATATGGCAAAACAACGTTTGCCGTGTCAGCCAGTATATATATATATATATATATATATATATATATATATATATATATGTGTATAATGGTTTAATATCACTTATAATATAGAGCAGGCTTTGAGAAACGTTAAAGCAAATCAAGACGAAAGGTAACATTTATTATGATAAATACATAACATACTTAATACACCGACTTTAGTTAAGAAACGAAGCTGAACTAATCACAGTTAAACCGGATATAACTGGATTTTACTGGTTAGATACCTGTTAGTGAATAAGAATTTTTTGTTCTATATTTTAGCTATACCGGTAACTGGTAAGTTCTACGCTGCCCACGACCAATTAAAAGCTGAATCTAAAGAACAAAAGAAGAAGGTGGATGATTATCATTTCAATGTAGCACAAACGAGGGCTAAGGGACCACACAGCAAGTACCCATCGCCGGCTACCGAGAACCAAGTGTGAGTTGAAATTAATAAAAACTTTTTTTACAATAACATAATGTTAGGCTTTATATGTATGTGCCTTTGCCTGATGTAGGGGTTTAAAATTATGACGTTGATGTCACAATTACAAGAAAATTTGTTTAAAAATTATAAAAATATATAAGCGTTAAAGTATCTACGTAGAAGATTGGGTATTTCTGGTTTGATACTTATTTATTGAAAATAAAGTGTTGCCACACCTAAGCATTGTAAGACTTAATAATATCATAACGTATGTTTTTGACTAGATAAAAATAAAGGTGCCAAATATAATTTAGGTAAGCAATACTACCTGGTTGTACATATTTTTGAGTAAATATGTATGTACTTTGTAGTTATTATTCTAAGTATAATATAAAATATCTTAAAAAAACTGTTCTAATCAATTGACTATCTTGTTTAAATAATATTTGTGTGAACAAATTTTAATTTCTATCGTAACAAAACATTTTAAATGACTATGGCAACATTTTTGTTAAAATATTATTAAACACGCTACTATGTACTTTTATTGCCAACTTTTATAATACCGGTGATATATATAATTTCATTTATAAGATATTTTTTTCACATGGCAATAAAATGAAAATATTACATAATTTGATTTCAAATTGCTGTTAACAAATGCTTATCGTTTTATTTAATATTAATTATATGCCACCAGCTACGGTTGGTACGACAAGCCACTGGTGCCAATGGACAGGAATGATAGACGCTTCTACTTCCCCAAGAGAGAGAGCTCCCACACCAAGGTCGAAATCATCATACTCATGTCTAATCCAATGAAAAAAGCATAAATACAAACATACAAAAACATCCAAAAAGGTCCAATATGACAAAAAAATATACGTCTTTTAATATTTTTATCAGTTTATTTTGCTATGGATTATTAAATTAATATGGGTTTAATTAATTATTGTTTTATTTATCATCATCATTATCTTTGGAGGCGTATTGATTCCAAGTGGAAGCTTTCTTCTTCATGTCTTCTTTGTCCAACGGTCGTAAGTGTGCGGCCGCAACACGGTCGCTAAAAATCAAATAACAAGAGTTCTGAATACCCTTATCACGAGTTTCATTCGTCACACTACATACGCTGCGTTTTGAGTTTTTTATTTATATTTATTTTATGATAGTGATAACGTTAGTTATAAGAATCGGGAAATGTGTCATATGTCGATGAAAATTTGTACTAAAGGTACAGAGCACTTATGTATTATAAAATATTTCCCGCTCTTTTGGTATGACAAACCATGAAAAAAACTGGCAATGAAATCAATAGTTGATATTTTCGGTACACATTGTCATATATTCCACCCCTATTGATAAATTTTGTTGATATTCCCTATATAAAGCAATATTTTTACTGAGTGATATTTAGTTAATGACATTGGCACAATATTCCACGATTCTAGTAACAATAGCATAGCATAAAAAATAGTTTAAATTACCTTTGGCAATCCGACACAGTTATATTTACGGTTGAAGCTATAGACATAATTTGTCATATAGATAATAGACCTTATAACTTTATATATAAGGTACAAAACTCCCCCTTTTTAAAAAAGTAAGCTATATTAATCTATTACTAAACTATCCCTATTAATTCATTAAGTTATTGAAGCATTCAAGATAAAAGCATTTTTTTCTTACGCGAATTCTTCATAAGTTTTGGCAGTATGTATGGCATCACATTTCACATCATTAACTCTCCAATACGCTTTGTCCTCTTCCAAACTCTGCTTCAATTGGCTCTCCATAGCCGTAATATCATCACGACTTAGCGGTTTATTCATAATTATAAAGAAATAATTAAAGTATGAACACAATTATATATGCCAATGTATCTGGTGTCAAACAATACGTTGCTATGGCAACGTCAAAATTTGTCTGCTTTAAGGAATTCAGAAAAATCTTCTCAAGCAGGACACGAGATTATAATTCGTCCAATAAATAAAAACGATGACATTGGCGGAATATTCCACGATTGCTATTCGAATAAAACGATAACATTAAAAAAAAACTTCTCAAAATTTTTGACTTCTATGTTCATTGATCTTGGTCATTTAAATTATTTAAACAAAAAAATAAGACATTTTATATTGTGGTGGACTGTCCTTGGGTGTTGCAGTCTGCAGAGTTTTAATTAAAAGTAGAAATAAAAGTAGACTGCAGATTAAATAAATGTTGCCACATGCACAAAAGAGTTTACCATAAAATAGTTACAAAAGCTTTGATTCGTCCAAAAAATGAGAATACATGGTTTTCTGTGTAAACAACAGTACATTTATCACAAGTTTGTATCAAATTTAATATGTATAGTGTCCACTGTCCAATGTTTTATATACAAATCTTCACAGATGACAGTATCTTAAAAGGTTAAGGGTTAATTAATGAAAACCTTATTCAATATTTAGTGTAAGGAAAGAAGCTTGTAGGAATTATACAGAAGCTTTATATCATTTAATGTTTCTGGAGATCTTGACAGATTACAAATAAACCAAAATTCAAGTCGTTTTACGATGTTTAAATCATTGAATAGTTTCCATGAATTACATAGACTTTTAGGTTTGGTTGAAACACACACTAAGTTAATTTAGGTCATAAATTAAGCGCTATCTCTATTTGATTTAGTTTATTTTATTTTCAGTATTCTGTATTTTTAACAGGTATAGTTCTAAAGTTCCTAATATTAAAAATACCACCGAGAGCATAAGAGTAATAACGTACTGAAAAGGTTAATTAATTACGACATAAACATAAATTCTAAAAGTAAATTGTTGAACATCATTTTGTATAAAAAACATGAAAAAAGAATTAATACGATTTATAGTCCTATATACTCAGTGATTTCATTAATATATAATATTCGTAAAAATACTGGTTCCTACAACTTAATTTCTAAGTAGTATTTTAACTATAAATAGAAAACCACTAATTCATGTCGTTCCTTGAGATTAAGTTCTTTTAGAGTTATTTTTAAGTTTTTTTAGGCGTTTTGAATCTTCCAAATGTTAGAAAGATGTCACACATATAATTTTAACGAGGTTGTGCTTGACGTATTGTTGCCATGTTTATATTTAATAAGTATTTTTATGTAAATATAACAGCTCGTGTGATAAAAATAGTATTAGTCATTTAGATTGCGATATATTGTTGTTTTCGTTCGCTTTACGTCCCATATTCAATGTTTATTAATCTTAAAATTTCAGAAATATTTAAGTGTATTGACATTTTTATTCCCATTACTATCATTTTATATTGTTGTGCTGGCAACATTCGTATCTACAGGCGGGATCTAAAAATTACTCAAGCCGAACCCGCGTTCATGTCAAAAATATATCTTTACATAATATTATACAATATTATAACATGTATTATGTATGTATATACAAGGTACATTATTGTACATGTACATATTTTAAATTAATATACCTACCTTAATCGTTGGTTTAAAAATATACTTTGAACCTTTATAAATCTTTAATAATCGAATATGATATTTTTCCGTTATCCTTCACCAATTGGTGATTGGATCATCATAAGAAGTTTCAATCAAAAATATCCTACATGTTTCTCCATTGACCTAATTTATATAGGATATCTAATTCTATAAATGTGATAGAAAAATAAAAAATCTACTATTATAAATTAAATTTCTTAAAACCAAAAGCTTATTAATAAAATAAAAACTACAACAGCGATCAATATAAGTTTAATTAAAATTTTAGCCGACTTCAAATCAAATTTCATTATAATAGACATTATAACTAGTCTTGGGATATCTGAATGCGTGCTTCATTGAAGCCCTCGAGGATTTAAAGCAAGATTAGTTTACCTTGGTCTAAAGAAGATAAGCAAACTATCAAACGCTTATATTAAGTCCTTATAATAATATTACTCTTATTATTTACACAAATTATACTTATCATCATTGAATACTTAATAAGTACAAAGTCATTTATGTTTTTAGCAATTAAAACGATTTTTTTATATACCTTAATAAATTATTCCATAAGTGTATACTGATCAGTAAAACATGTACCTACGGCATTTTTTTTTAATAAACTATTATTAAACTCATATAAGATTCAAGACACAAAATCTAGCAAGAATTTAAATTGTTAGCCTGGGTGCGTTCATTTAAATATGCGGTGACTGATGTTTGCAACAAAACGATCGACGAGCTTAGTGCTTACTAATATCTAACATTCCAGCCGCTAGATGGCAGTAGGGTGTTTGAACTTTTGACGTGAACTTGACTAAAACTTCTTACGACTTAACCAAAATATTTGAGCTTTTAATAGAATTTATACAATAATATTTGTTATTTTACATCAATAGTGTAATATTTAGAGTAAATTAAATTATTATAATCATGGTTTGAATAACTTGTTCATGTGCTCGGTGAAATTTGTGAACATACTTTCAACGTAATTTAAGGAATTTGAGTGATTCAGGTAACAAATATTTATAATACATACATAAATATGTCATTTTATAAGTTATAGGATACCATTAATACAAATTATAACGGAATCGTTACAATAAACCATTAATACAATTTAGCATAGTTTACATACTTTCTACTTTCGCTCTCTTTTACTTGTCTTAACAAACCTTTTAACAAACTTTGTTATAATCATTAATTATATTATTGATTGAAACTTAAATTCTATACACAAATAAAATAAAGGTCTTTAGATCATTAATAAGTAAAATATCTCTATTTTATTTCGAGTTCAATTCAGTTGTTATTAATTTACTTTTAACAAATATTGAAGAATATAATAAAGTAGGTATAATATATTTTTCAATAATTATTATTTGTAACGCTATGATCTGAAGCAGGTGCTTTATTATATTGTAGGTTTTTGTACTTACTTATAATAATATCTAGTCAACAAAAGGTGTTATGCCCACCTGACTTTAAGGGATGCTTAAATTCCAGGAAAACTTTATAGTGTTTTTGTGTTGTAATGATTGATTTATATTGTTAAGTAAACCACAAGAATAAGATAATTATCCATTATATGTATTACTACTTATCTTTGAGAAAACAAATAAACCTGCCCAGTGATGGTGTAAATAAAAATCACACATTCTTTCACACATTGATGCTCTGGTACTGATTTTTCCTATTATTTTGCAAAAGAAGTAAAAACAACATTACAGATTTTGATAAACTATTGGACAGTATTGGTTAACTTGAACCGATTGGTAATATTAATAGCGTCTCAGTGTACATACAACTGTAGGACGCTTTCTAGAGTGAGACACCTCATATCAAAAAATCTTAGAAATCAGTTTTTTCCTTTCCCTGCATAGGTTTACTAGAAAATGCTATTCAGTTTACTTATTAAGGTATCTTCCGATATATTATTTTCACAAATCAAGATAATATTAAAAATATCGTTATGATTGCAAACATTAAATTATTCTAGTCATAGTAAGTGTATGAAATAGCAAATGTTCTAACAATACTGCCTAAGAAAAACTGCATACAGTTCTTAAGAATTATTAATTCCTTGATGGTTTTGTCTAAAACCAGAGTTCCATGTCCTATAAAGCTTACAGTCATATAGTCTCAAAGCACATTGTATTTGCACCAATTAGCCATTATTCGGATCATCTCCAAAACTATGTTTTATCATATTATTATATCCATATTATATCCATCAACAAAGAATTAAATGGGGTATATTATAGGGTATTGAAACTATTAATGTATTGCTACTCAGTATTACACTTATATAACAGTATGATCAAAAATAATATTTATCTTATTGTAACTGCTTTAAAAATCATTAGTATTCAATGAAATTAAAATTTCGAAATTATAATTTATATCAAATGCAACAAATTTACAAACAAATTTATTTTATTAGACATAGATTCCTTAATTTGATTGGTTAAGTAGAGAAAAGAGCTTGGATAGTGGAGGTGAGTGTATAACACGCATTAGATAGGGCCTCTTAAACCTACACCTGGGTCACAAGTCCCAGGCACTGTTGAAGCTCCTCTCCTTGCAACACAATGTACCTACTTGGCACACACACAGTGAATCCATTTAATGCTTAGAGGTTTTGTCTCTGTTAAATTTGTTAAAATAATTTTCAGGTATCTTAAGTTCTCAGGGATATAAAAAATTAAGGGTATAAATAGTTTTTAAAACAAAAATAAGCTTAGGTATAAAAAACATTTAATTCAGACACTTAATATAAGTTTAATATCATTTTTTACTCTTCTTATGTGATTTGTGTGATTTCTTAGATTTTTTGTGTTTCTTTTTATGTTTCAATTTCTTTTTAGTATCGCTATCTGAATCCGAACTGCTACTCGAAGAACTTGTTGATCTGGAATATATATAATAGAAAGTTAGCCACATATTTCAATATGATATTATTTAAATTCAGAATATAAACAAATTTAAAAGTAAAAAGTCATTAAAAGTACTCAAAAATCATTAGACATTATAAAAATTCAATTTTTTTTATAATTGTTATCAAGCATCAAGTTTTATTTTAGAATTCTTTTCTTTTATCTTCACACCTGGATCTTTTTCTTTTCTTGCTTTTCTTCTTTTCTTTTACTTTCTTTAACTTCTCCTGTAATTTCTGTCGTAATTCCGCCTCTCGTAAACTCTGTAATGGAGTCGCATACTCTTCTTCGGTATCACTACTTGTACTACTAACATCAAGTACTATTTCTTTATTTGGATCTACCTGGAAAAAGATTTTAATATTTATATTTTGAATACATGTATATAAATATTGCAATCAAATAGTAATTATTATTGAGTGTGACAGCATAGTCTTCTATATATATAAAAATGGATTGCTGTTCCTTAGTCTCGCTAAAACTCGAGAACAGCTGAACGGATTTATCTTATCTTAGTCTTGAAATGTTCGTGGAGGTTCAGGGAAGTTATAAAAGCTGAAAAAAATTGATTCATTACTGGGAAAACCATAAAAACAGCCCTTTTCTATTTCCCATACAAACGTTTTTTTTGACATTAGATTTGACAACTAACTAATATGTCAATCATTCTGTCGCACTTCAAAACACGGAGATTTATAGCTTACAGGTAAACTCCAAAAATATAAATAAAAAAACGTAATAGATATTTCTTGATTATAGGGCGATACGAAGTTTGCCAGGTCTTCTAGTATTTAATATATCAATTGAAAGTTTTAATATATGTGACTGAATCTTTATTTAATTTAAAATAATGAAATTGACCTATGATATAAGAAATTAAGTTAGCTTTATAAAGATTCAGTTCTATGAAAACTTTAAAATTTATGTTACTTAGTTCACAACTAGAAAAATGGTAATTTTAGAAGCCTAGTGATTATTGAAATATCTAGAAATGTCTTTAGAAAAGAGCAAAAATGGCATTATTCATAAAGAAAATTGACTTGATTCTTTCACACAATGAAAGTATTCTTAACAATATGCTTAAATTTATATGTAACATGTGATTTTTAACATATTTATAGTAAAAGTAATAATTTATATTTAGAGAACCTTATGTATGCGTAATTAATTTATTAGCGGTCCGAAATAGAAATTCATTATCGAAATATTCAGTAGTAATTAATAAACAGGATTGTAAGATACAAACTTTATTACAATAATTAAAGATTCACTCACTTTGATAAAGTTTCTACACTGAAAAGTTAAATGTCCCGCATAACCACACTTTTTGCAAGCGGATCTCGACGTATCCTTTCCTATTTTAGTTACTAAATCCATGGAGTTGGACATTTCATTTAATAATCATGGAAGTTGCTAGAAAGGACTAATTTTATTAACCAGTTCAAATATAGTTGTTTATCCGTCGTGAGCGTCGTCTTACGTCGATTGTCAAATTCAAAAGACGTTTTCAAATGTCACTTGTAATAGGTTCCGTTTCATGCATAGCAAATATTTATAACTTAATCAAAGTTAATCTTCTAGTTTTCTTAAGCGTAGACATATTATATATAAGTTATTACAAATATAATGGACATTTTAGGAAAAAAAGGAAAAATCAGAAAACCTATAATTAACTGATAATGTCAATTGATCACCCGTTTTTTCCTATCGTTTGATTCTAAACTGAAATTATACATGTGAAATAAATAAATATATGTATTTAAATTTAAATTAAGTATTAACTTCACATTAATAGATAATATTATATATTTTTGTCAACAGAAATGGAGGTATAACCAAAGAAATAGATGAGAAATGTTCCAAAATGGCGGAATTCCTACCCCTTTGCGATGTTCTATTCAACGTCATATCCTTGGCTGGATATTTCTGCGACGTTGTATTCGACCTCGTAATGGGTTATGCGCTTCTTGAGAGAGGCTACAAATGTACATTTGCTGCTACTATTTCTATAGTCATTACTTCCCTTCTCATATCGCAGGTTTGTATTAAAGAAAATGTACTTAAAAATATTAATATGAATCTTTAAATAACTGTGTATTATTATAGGTGCTTTCAATTCGTTGGTATCTACATATGTGGTGGGCGAGTGAAGATCGTAAGGATCGGCCGCCCTGGTTGCCAATATTGGTTCATTGCTTGCAAATGGGTGTTCTCTGGCGCTATGCAAGATTGTTAGTACCAGTTGAGCTGAGACGGGTTAAACATCAAGTTAGGGATTTATGTGAGTATATAATAGCATTAAATTATTATTTTTCCCTAGAATTATTTGCGTTTTTAATTTTATGTTATTTTTTATGGTCTTAAATTTTTATCAATTTTAACTTATTTTTTTAAATCTTTCTACTGATGTTGCTATAATTGTGTTAATGTATTTTTAAAACAAATATTGCGATTATTGTGGCTACTTTAAAAAGTGTCACATGTTAGCTATTTTCATTCAATTGTTTTACATTTGTAATAAAAACATGTAGTAGCTACTAGTCGTCCTTAAATAAATAAATAAACAATAGTCTGAGGAATTTATTTCGTTCATTTATAAGTAACATATAAAACCTTTTTGTTATTTGGCATTCCAGGTATGTTACGTTTGGTTCACGCCTTCTGCGAGGCGGCTCCGATGCTGCTTTTACAAATACACATCTTACTTAAAAATGCTGATCTAGAAACATCGAATGAATTGACACTTACAGAGCCCACTGTCGATGAACCATCAGGTAATAAATAAAAAATACATTTATAAGCTGCCAAGAATAATAAAAACAATATTTTTATGTAATTACATATCTAATTACGTACTTTTTTAATTATTTACTGGTGACAAAAATACCTGAGTACAATTAGCTTAATAATCATCCATGTATGAAAACTACCTTCATCTAGATAAAATAAATTTGATTCATTTGACCTTTTTCTGTAATGTCATACATTTAAACTACGTACTTTTGTAATGTACCAAGTAATATTTCTTAAAACGTACTTGCAAATACAAAAATATACTTAAAACTTCAATATTAGTTATATTTTCTTATTCTTCCATCAGCAAACAAAGCTTTCGCGGATCTGAACGTGATATCAGCATCGCTGTCTTTGTTTTCCGTGTGTTGGGCACTCGCTAGCTTCAGTAAAAACGTTCGTTTGCAGAACGTACATCGCCTAGTATTGACGTGGCTGGGAGTCATTTTTCAGGTAAGTCCTTAAATTACGAAGTATTTGAAATTTATAATGTCTTAGATTAGAATTTTCGTCCATTATTCTGATAGAACCGCAGTGATATTGGGAAAAGTCTATGAGAAAACAAGTGAGAATTGTATTTGATATTTTTGATGTCCTAGATCAGAATTTTTATTGATCTTTTTGGTAGAACCACTATAATAGGAAAATTGTATGAGGAAACAAGTCCTAATTGTATTTGTAATTTATAATGCCCTAGAATAAAATTTTCATTCGTCTTTCTAATAGAACCACTGTTAAAGGAAAATTATGAGATAAAAAATCATCAATATGCTTGATACAAGTTTCTATCGGTAGATACGTACGAATTGTTTCCAATAGCCCACGTTAATGTGTGAAAAACTATTAACGCTCTGAACGAAGTGTGATAATGAAAACTTTTATTAAGGATACTGATATATAGCACATAGAAAAACCGTCTTATATTCAATTGAAAGCAATTTTATGATTTTATAAATTCCATATTAACTTAAAATTAATGAAACTTGCCATATTAATATAATTCTCATTATCTAGTCTAGATTCATGGCTACTTTATTTAACTATAATACTTTATGTTTGCAGTTTCTTTGGCGTCTTGGCACCGTGTCAGCTAGGATATGTGCCTTAAGCGTTTTCGCTTTAGTGTACGAATATTGGGTGTTTCTAGTTATAAGTAAGTATTATAATCAATTTTGGTCATCATTAATTAAATTTATTATTAATATATATATATTTTTTCAGGTCTACATTGGATATCAATGTTTTTATGGTTGATATCACCAAAGAATGTTTTCCACGGCGAACGAATAAGTCGTCCACGTAAAGCTTATTTGTCAGCGCTGATAGCTTTTGTGTATGTGTTCGCGTACATTAATCTTCAAGAGCACAATCACAGACAGAAAATGGTATGATTTTTAATGGTATTAATTTTATCGTGACTTAATAACTATAAAATCATAACGTGAAATACCAAAACCTCCTAACTGACAATTTAGTCCAAAAGTACTTTTTTATTACAATAGACATAAAACTCATATTCGCATAGATTGACTTCACTCCTATCCAATATTTGTTTACCAAACAGTTTCTTGAGCTATATGAAAATATCTACTAAGTGGCAAAATTCATTCATACGTATATATTTTACAGTTTTTTTTTTGGTGTAAAATTAGATTCTCAAAATTTAGGAAGTATTTGTACTTCATCCACGATAATTTCGTGTGACCATTCTGATTTGATGATACTTGTATTCAATGATACTATAATAATTTTGTATCAACTTAACTTCCCAATTAAGGCTTAAAAGTAACTGTGATTCACGAATATGCACAAAATTATGTCCTAGGTAAATTTCACGGTCATTTCATCACCATATCTTAATGATTTTTAATTATCCACGTCTGATTTAACTGAACGTCCATATTAAGCCTTAACCTCCCTAAAACCATATTAAGTCATAGGATAATAATATTGATGATGAAGTCATCATTTCTCATCATCTATATCAATAAAATAAAAAAAGAAATTAGTATAATGTAAATTGCAATTAATTTATTTTTAGTTTTTTTTATTAATTTATGTTTATCTCATGATTTTTTTTAAATAATTGTCTTAATTTTCATTGATCATATTATTATTTTGCTCAATGTCATCAATTTTTGTATTTTAATTTTAATATGTTATTTTATATTTTAGCCAATTTGTGTTTTGATGTTTTATTCTTCTTTGCTCCAAATGAACTTGTAATCGGTGGATACTTAATCGGTTTATGTATTTTTGTATGAATTATTTCAATTGATTGGTTGTGATACTGTTTGTTTCCCAATAAGTTAAAAATTAAATTAAATAAAAAATCGTCATCATGATTGTTTCTCATCGATTCTCATCATCATAATGACCGTTTGATCGTGCAGGTTGTGTTCTACTGTGTGATGTGTGTGGAGAACTGTGTGTTGGTGACCGCGTGGTGGTGTTCGTGGCGCGGCTCGCTCCGTCCTCAGTCTATAGCTGCTGCTGCAGCGGGCGCTGCTGCTGCTGGTCTAGCGTGTATGCTGCTTTATTACAGGTGAGCTTATATATATACTAGAAGACCCGGTGAACTTCGTATCGCCCTATAATCAAGAAATATCTGTTACGTTTTATTATTTATATTTTTAGAGTTTACCTTTAAGCCATAAATCACCGTGTTCTGAAGTGCGACAGAATGATTGACATATTAGTTAGTTGTCAAATCTAATGTCAAAAAAAACGTTTGTATCAACAACTACTAATAAGTTGTGAATCTAAACCATTCCCAGATCCCCTTGAACACACACAAAAAATTTCATAAAAATCGGTCCAGTTGTTTGAGAGAAGTTCAGTGACATACACACTCACAGAAGAATTATATATATAAAGATATATATGGGTGTTAGATGTTCAGTATTGAGTATGTGTTTGTTGAATTTTGTTTGTTTGTCTGCATGTCCTTCGTAAATGTTATATATAATAAACTTGTGGTAGTGTGTTTTTCTCTGTATGTGTGTGTGTGTGTGTGCGTGCCTACGTGAGTGCTTCTGTGTGTATACTATAAGATAGACTTAAAATCGTTTATGTTATATAATACATATACATATATACATATAATAAAGTTGCGTTAGTGTGATTATCTTTGTATGTGTGTGTTAGTGAGTGCTTCTGTGTATGTACTATAAGATAGACTTGAATATCCAATAGAAAACTTCCATAGAGTGATATGGAATAAGAACAATGAAATTGTTATAGTGTTTTCACGAATGTATTATACAATCACGATACTGTTTCTTTCAGATACTTCCACGTCCGTAGATTAGGCTACATGCTTGGCGAACATCAACAGGGAACTAATAGTACAAATGCGTCGTCGCAAAATAAAAATGGTATTCACATATATTCATAATCTGTTACCATAATAATTAAACCATTATTAATATTTTTGGTCCATTCCAGAGAAGCCAAATCAGAACGACAACGCGACTATACCGGGTGTTTTCAACTGTAGATTTTCAAATCCAGTTAATAATAGGTAAATTGAATCTTATATATAAGCGTATCGAAATAAGATTTGTATGTATTTTTGTGTTTTTTGTACGACAGCGCAGCAAACGGTCGTAAGAAGAAAAAGCCGACGTCTTTCGTTCCGCCTCCCGCAGCGCAACCTGTAGCTTTTTGGAGAAGACCTCTTCCAACCGCACACAATCATCACGTGAGTTAAACAAAGAATTATAGAAAATTCTATCTAATATATTGATGTACAGAAGGGAATGACAAATTTTCATGCAAGTCAAGTGAAAATGACATTGTAGATGTTTAAATGTTCGATAAAGGTATAAAATACTTAGAAATTTTTTTTAAGTCCATAGAACAAAAGCTATTTCGAAAAATGTAAGATTTGAATGAAACTAATATTTTTCGGATTTTACTTCGCGTTTTATTTTTGATTAGAAAACTACATACTCCGGACGTTTCGGCTACTCTTCAGCAAACGTGATCACGGGCAGACACATCTCGTCTGTAGTTTTCTAATCAAAAATAAAACGCGAAGTAAAATCCGAAAAATATTAGTTTCATTTAAATGAGTACTCGCAAAAATGTTAGATCTCATAATGTAAGATTTGATTTCTTCTTTTAAGATGTTGCTTTTTGTCGTTTAACTTTTCTTTTTGTTAAAACCAAAAATTTCTTTCAAACTCCAAAACCATTTGTATCAATGATGTAGCCATTAGGAAATTGACAAAAAATTTTGATTTATCTTCTAATACCTTATTTTTGACACAACACAATTTGAGTGAATGTCTAATATAAATATTATTTGTATTATACATCCAGGGCGGGTCTTCAGAAAACGAAGGATCAAGCGTCGGCTCGCGTGTGAACATTCAACAGAAGTTACAAGAAAAGAAACAAAAACAGCTAGCGGAGTTAAGGGTCATAGAAGAAGAAATAAAACAAGGGAAATTGGCGAAGACTACTCCGGTAGCCGCTGAAGAAATATACAGCAGTCTGCAAAGACAGCCCATACCTCGAGCAAAAACACACGCAGAGCCACCGGCGTGGCCTAGCATAGAAATGACGCACTCCTATCAAAACTACCCCGTCCTACCCCACAACTGCAATTACCCGACATACACCGAAATAAAACCGGAATACAATCAAAACTTCCAAGCAAACGAAAAAATACAGAACATATACAATCAAGATTCTAGATCATTCTACGAAAACCCGGCGAATTTACGCAACGAGGTGAACAGACAACTTAGATCACCGAATTACTTGGAAAGGAAGTATGAATCAAATGTATGCATCAACAACAGCCCTAGGAAATACATAGATAATAACTACGACCAAACGAGAACAAAATATTCTGGAGATCGACCGGAGTTTACTTACGAAGATAATCAAACTTACAATAAAGAAGAATATTCCATAAACGCTATAAACGTGCAAGGAATGTACGACTGTAGTCAATACAACCAAAATTGTGAGAGGTTCAGTTATCTGGGCGGAAAAATGGAACATATAAGGAAAGTCCAACGTTGTAGGACCCCTGAAATATTATTGGCACCGCATTATTTAGAGGGATGTAATAGACAATTCTGCAACTGGGCGCCTTACACGTAAGTTATTTAAAAGAAACCTTATGATTTTTTTGTGTAATTAATTAAAATTGATCATAACAATAATGTATTTTGATTTAGTAATAGGAAAAAGGAGGAAGTGCCGGGTGCTAGTACGGGTGCGAGTGTGGGTGTGGGTGCAAATGTGGGTGCAGCCGTGGGTGCATCGGGTGTGAACACGGCTGCAGTAGAAAGTAGCGAAGAATCTGGCGACAAAAGGGATACTCCGCGCCCTCCTAGTGATATCGATAGTCAGGTAATATAACAAATTAATAAATAACAATAAATTATATTATACATTTTATTGTTATTTGATAAAATTACAATATATACGATATATTATGTTACTAGTTTTCAAACATATTTTTTCCATTGTCAACTCATTCATATAAAAAACATCGAATTTGATATTATCAAAAAGTTCATAGTACAATGAATTTTAATGTACAAAATATATGATATAAAAATTAGTTTTTTGACATTATTCGTTTTATTCAAACAATACTAATTTTATAAAATGGTATTATTTACAATAGTCTTATCTAAAACAATATAATCTGTATTCCAGATATCTCTTCCCCGTTCGTACACCCTGCCACGTGAGTTTCGTTACTGGCGCCGTCGTCCGCGACCCGCTCCGTCGAACAACAGCAGTGATGGTCTGTACACCAACATAAACTACTTAACCCAAATAACATATAAAATCATTATTTAAAATTTTCAATCAATTAAATTATACTAAATAGGTCATATAAATACCGATTTTTAATAGAAAATATATAATTGACATTTTAGATCTGGTTCAGATAAAAAAATTAAAACCGGTGAGTGTGCTTTAGACCACACGATTGTAGTAAAACTTCTTTCGCTCCATCTATATGTAATGTGTATATTCATATGTTTATATATGTATAATACAGACATGTCTATATATTTCATGGACTGGCTATCAAAGGAAGCGAGAAAGAAAATGTACACGTATTGCTCTCTCCCTTACCCCTACAGTAATATGCGAACCGTAACACTCTCTCTATCTCCTCTAACTTATATCTCCCTCTCACTTTGATTCGCCCGATCACACTTTTCGTAACTCTTTCGTCACTCATTCACCAGCTTACTTCCAAGTCAAGCGTACGTAAAGAAGTTTTACTTCAAAATGCAACAGATAGTTCAAATTTTATCTCAAAGATCCGGTACATTATTCTTCATCTACCTGACAATTTCCCAGCTTTAGCCAGGGTCTGCCTTACATGTTGTGAATAGTTTTGGCTAATTGTTTTTACGACCGGCCGCCTGCCTGGCATCAACCCTCTTTGGGAATGCATTATTATCAATATGTTATCATTTCAGGTGATGTAGATAGCGCTGATAATGATAGTGATCATCGCTCAAACTGTTCCGCTGGCTCTCAAATCCAGCCTCCCACATACGGGGAATTCCCGTATGGGCCGAGACATGAATATGACTACGCGTGCCCCGGAAGAAGGCGAATACGGAAACAGGGACCCAAACCGGAAACTAAGCTGTAGAATATATATTATATAGTCCTTTGTTAATTTTCTATACAAATCAAGGTAATATAGAATTGTTACAATGAAATTATAACACTGGTGTTTGTTATAAGTTACAGTACAACTCCAATTATCCGAACTCCGACTATCCGAATCACTTTCAGAAAAAAAAATTGTCCAAAAAAAGTCTAAGTGCGCTATTATTCTTCCCTCCGCGAAGTCAGTGTAGGCACAACGGCAAGTTAAGACCGCAAAACAGCTTACATTGACGAAGATTTTTAAAAAACAATGATTTTTATTTCTAAACTTGTAGATAAGTACAATTTATTTATATTTGAAACATGTGAAAATATCATGTTTCTTTCATTTAATTCAATAAAAAAATAGCGCAATATCAAAACGTAACTTTTTTTCTCTCCAATGGCAATTAAAAAAAACTTCGATTATCCGAATATTTGATTATCCCCATTAATTCGGATTATTGGAGTTCTACTGTATTTCTGTTTGAAATGTAAACTCAATAATTTAATTTCACTGGCAACACTATTTGTCATATGAGAACTGTACTGAAAACGTGTTCCCGCCTTTTTATGTAAAAAAATATATATTTGTAACTGGTAACATTGCGTTTAATAAAGTCGTAATGTAGGAAGTGATATAGCAACATCCGTCCATGACACTGTAACGTTGAGATTTTCTAACTTTAATATAAATAATGCCATTAATAATTTTCTTTATTAAGAAATGTTAATATGTAAGTTGTAAATGTAAAATGTTGTACTATTGTATATTTGTATATTGATGTACTTTTGTAAAAAGGAATTGATGAATCCAATGAAGAATTTTGCAAAACTTTTCTTTTGTTTTATTCTATATTATGAAATATAAAATAAGTATTATAATATAAAAGTATTAAGCCCGGCTGATACACATATATCTTCCAAGTATTTAAGTATATAGGTTAAATTAACATGTATTAAAAGTGGCACCATCTTTGCCGTACTAATTACAATATATGATAATCGTTAGAATTATTTTTATGACTGATTATAATTAACTATAATGCTGAACCATGGTGATTTTATAATGGTAACATTTAAGTATCAACTTGTATATGAAGACTATGTATAAATACTGGCTTCAGACAATACTGGAAGTAACGACGAACATTCATAGTCAAAACTGAAATTGTACCTCAAACCCAAGCTAGTCTTAACACTGAAGATATAAAACATGTAAGGGGCGTTATAATATAAAAAAAAACATTCAACAGGAAAAAATAAATGCAGGAATATGAGTTACAAGAATTGAAATATTAGTATGAGATGTATGATTATTATTTAAAATAAACAATTTTAATACAAGAAAGCGCCGCGTGTATGTGACAAGGCTTAAATTATTTTTGAATGTAGTTTTTATATGACATATTTTTTGAATGCTTAGACGAAGGCGTACTGCATTCAACAGTGTTGCTATCTTCTAATAACATTTTAAGTATTTCAATAGACTATAGAATTTAAAAGTTCCATAAATATAGGCAAATTTAAAATGACTAAAAATTATAAAGAAATAAGTAAAAGGTATTCGCTAGAGCTTGCGCTATAATTTTATGAAATCTTTGTACTAATTTTCAGCCATAATTGCATATTATTACATTGTGATCGGTTACAATATTTTTCTCGTTTTATTTATTGTACTTTATAATTAATATATTACAGCAAACTACGAGTATATTTAGACTGTTTCGTGTGTTCATCGAAAAGGCTAGAATAAATAAAAACACTTCGAACGACTCAAGTCGTTTCCCACATTTATTACATAGAAAGAGAAAAACATATACAAGAGTAGAAGTCATAAATAAATCGAAATTTTAACTAACAGTAGGTACACACATTCACAAAATAGTATTTCTTAAGGATTAGGAAACATTTCAAAATGTATATTTATATCTCTTTAATATTTTTAGTCGCATTCTACGGCGTCAACCTCTAAATAAATTTCATCTCAAAAGTTAATAGACACGAAGTGAAGACATCCAGAAGTGGTTTAATTGATTAACATCTCCGAAAAACATCTAATAATTTTATGAGTCAAATCTTCAACTTCCTAGAGAAGCTGAAATAAAATAAATAATAAAATTAATTTAAAGTGCATGTAGGTTATAAAAAACAGTGATTCTTTTTAACGACATTATGTTTCTACGCATAATTTTTCTAAGGAATATATATATAGACAAAAATACAAAAAAATCGTATTAGGGAACTTTAGTTTTGGTCGAATAATTACCGATTTGACTGTAGCTGTGATAAAGTCCCTCTTATTGACCAGATCGTAGTCCGGGAACTGGCTATAAACAGCCCTGCAGATAGTGTTCATAGTAATCTTCTCCAGATTCAATCCCTTCAGAATCTTCTGCAAGAATCTCCTTACATCATCGTCCTAATAATAATTTAAAACCTTTAGCACCATTTATACTACATTGCATACACCACCTAATTAATATAAACTCACTGTTGGTAGACGCCTTGCGCTAGCATAACCGGGTAAAGCGACTTCCAGTCCAATCCCTGGTTTGGCTACTTTTTCGTCACACACGCTTGTCTCCCCAGAAGCCAAAAAGCCACTTTCATCTTGTTGCGATATTACAGTGGTGTCATCTGCGTCATCATTTAGATATTTTGCATTATTAAAATAACATAATTGATTGAAAATAATACATAATATATGTTTATGCTGAATCTACGTGGATGTATAATTGATCAATTACCGATAGATGAGGATATATCCTTGTCAGACATCAGTTTAGTCTCAGCTTCCTTCTCGCTGTCACTAATGTCACAGATCGCGCGACAACACTCCGAACTTCCAACACACGAACCCTACATATAAAGTAGTTACTAATTAATAATATATACTATAACTATACAATAATAGTAAAACTACAATAGCTTCATACATTGAATTAAACTGAGAGAAGAATGAGTTACATTAAATGGTGTTTTCGTTTCGATGTTTTACTTACTTCAGAGTATTCTGAACCATCTCTGGTCTTCTCTGAACACGCCACCATAGTCTCAGCATCGGATTCATAATCTTCGTCCGACACAGCTTTAAACAAAATAGAATTTAATATCCTGTACACACAAACTAGATAATCATACGAATAAGTCATAACAAAGGAAGGAATTTTTTTACTATACTTGGGACAGTAAAGAAAAATACGTATGATAATTCGCAAGTACTGTGTTTCTTGAAACTAACCTCTATGGTAAGTCTTAGCAATGCTCTCGATGGTACGAACGCATCTGAAGTATGGAGAATTAGATTCCGGCTTCACCAGGAACTCCACGAGCCTGAAAGCCTGATCCCTTGTCCCGCCTAAAAAGTAAAACGTCTCAATAATGAACATTCATTTGTTTACTGTGAATTTAAAAGCCAAAAATGTCCCTATAGTAAACAGCAGATACTTCAAAGTTAACTACCTTCAATATCAAGATCCAACATGTCGCACATAATCCTCAACTTATGAGGATCCATGCGGAGAGTTTCTTCAAACTTGTGGATGTGCCTGCGTGAGGCCGTGTTGTACTCATAGCCTTTAAACTTCTTGATGTTCAGCATTAAGAGGCTATCACGGGTCAGTTTCTGGACAAATAAAAACCAAATTAATCTCATATCTCGTTGGAACAGTTCCAGTAAAACTTGACTGTAACTTACTCCATATAGATAGAGATGCAACATCTTCAAGTCCACTACATGGTATCTGTTGAGGGCGTCGTTAACATTGTGCAAGTATCCCAAGGGTACACCCAGGCCGTTTGGTATTCGAAACTCTGGTACACTCAGCACCGCCCCTGGATCTCCCTGATCGGATTCATCATCAGAACCCTTGCAACAGCAGGTTCTCAAATACATATCACAATAGCACAGACACATGTTTAAGTTGTATGGGAAAATGAAATTTAATTTAAATTTTCCAGACGTCCGCTCCCGGGAAGAACCGAGTTACGACTGCTGATATAACAACATAACAAAGGGAGCATATTTTCTGCGAACTGGACTTTTCATTTTAAGTGAGATACTATGAAATTTATGAAATATTATATATATACCTTTACGATAGTGTTAAAAATGCTCAAGATCTGGTATTCCATGTGACTTTCATCCATGAGCGACTTGGTGTTGGCTGCTTGGAGAACTGCCTCAGAAATTCATGACCAGCCCTTGACTGACTGTAATGTGATTCTGCCATCAGCACCATTTCTAAATATCTGTTATTGGAATATTTATGTGACATTTTCTTTTAAGACGATAACAATGGGAGATACAAAACAAGCGTTCAGCAGGTGAAGGGCGCATGCGCGGGATGTATTTCTCAAAATGTCATTGATCGCATGACCCAATATTAAGTTCATTGCATAGGTCCTGTTCCCATTCGTTTAACACAGTTTGCTTGGCCCGATTTATGATAGTGCGTCATTCGATGCAAGCCCCGGATGCCCTCGATAGCGACCTGCACCTGATGACGTAACAAGAAATATTTTTAATCTGTGTCAAACTTCCTTTTATGGGACAGCGTTTTAAAAACCGCTGCTTATGAAAAACGCGCCTAACTTTGATGGCACAGATTAAAATAATAAAATGATGGATCTTTACTCTTTAGGGAAATGAGTTGGAAAGAAAATGAAAAACTTTTCTTTTTAGCTTAAGATATGATTATCAAAATTAATGACATTTAAGAGTTAATCTTAAAATATTGGTTCGCAAGATTATTACGTTAGTTTGTGTTGATTTGATAAGAAATTATGGAGAAAGAATAAAAGTTATCAATTTAAATCTAAACGACAATCTTTATTTTGTTAGAAAAGTAATTTTTTATCCAATAGTCGTAATTGCAAAAGGGATTACGTTTAACGAAATTTGTATTAGTATTTGAGAGTATGTTTTTTATTACATCTGTCTCGACTCTCGAGTAAGGGAAACTAATTTTGATCAAATTACTGTTAGGTTTATTAAGCGTACTTTAGAAACACTAGGTACATTCGTGACATGATATTTTGACAGCACTTTCTTTTGGTGCAAGAAATATTAAGATCCTTGAGGAAAAATATGTACATAAAACAAAACAAATAACTAACGATTATAATTTAAGTATGTTTTAGATGATATACGAAAAGAAAACTCAAAATCATTCAGTTTGCCAACATATGTACGAGCATCACTTACATCTCTTCAGCTTAATAAACTACGTTAATACTATGATAATAACGACCCGTGTAAAGATGCAAAACTTGATTTAAGCATGGGATCTTATATATTCTCAGACTGTACGATTCTGAAAAAAATATTTATATGTTAGTTACAGAGATAATTAGTAGAAATAATACTTTAAGTTTTAATTTGAAAAATATGATTTAACATTAGTACGTACCTAATTAAAAAATAATTTAATTTATTTTATCTTAAACTATAAGTAAATACTTTTTATATTGTTGAAAATATTATTTGTATTTTTCATTAATGTATTTTTACAAACTCCAGGTGCTTAACTTTTTTTAATTAATATGATAGCTGTCGGAAAATTATGATTGTATTCTTAAGACAAGTTTTTAAAATCACACCACATAAGAAGCGTTTTCCGTTTCTCGTTGCATGACCTACATTAACATTATATGCGAAGGTTTATGAATAGAATGCTGTTAAAGCTGGAAACTTATAGTAAGCATTCTGTTTTGGATTTGCCATCATATGGAAGAAATAGTGAAAGAGTTCTTCAAGTTCTACGTAATTAAAAGTTGTAAATTTTTTGTTTGCCTATTCGTTTTATTGCTTGATGTAATTACGAGATAGGTATGCCTTGTTTTATAATTGAAGATGTTTTATTAGATTTTAAACTAAGATAATTTTTAAGTATAATAATTTCTCTAATTAATGATAGCAATGTTTTACGGATTATTAATCGCATTTTATTATTTTGTGTGAGATACATCTCGTCTGTCCGTGTTCACGGTTAGGTATTCCAAAGTCACCAAAATGTCGGGAGTATACGTAACTTTTAAAGAATAATAAAATAATATTTAAATCCAAACATATTAGTTTTCTATCAATGAACACTCGCGGAGATCTTAGATCTCATTACTGATTTTTTCTATAGATTAGGATAATATTCTATAGAGCCGAAAATGAGTAAGACGTTTCTGGCTAGATTTAATTCTGTTAACAAGGAAGTTCAATTTCTGTTAGAATTTTTAGAACATTACTTATTCTCAAAGTAATCTAATCACTAACTATTATCTTGTTTGGTATTTAGTAAAGCTATAAAAATATTTAAAATCATCCACATGTATACATAGATCATACAAACGTACAAATGAATTAAATTTTAAATTTATACATATAGATCAAGTAATATAAAATTTGCATCATATGGGTCTCAATAAGGAAGCTTCGCGATGTAATAATCAATAGTACACTGAACTAGATTTATGATGTATCTACATAGATATAACTATAAAATCCCAGATTGAGCTAGCCTCTAATACTAGGTTGCGTCCTATATTGAATTTTCACTCCGGGCACCTGAATAACCGGGTCATTCAAAACCTTTCAGTATTTGCATGTTGTAATAAATAAACAAAATATTAACATGTTAAAATATATTTCTTGATTTATTTTTTCTTTTCATATGTATGATATGTTTGAACAAAATTTGGTTCAATATTGAATCGTAGGTATATTGTTTTGTTTCCAAGTGTGAACAAAAGCAAATTTATGCAAAATATGTTACTCGGCTAGACCTGTTGATTGTACAGCCTTGTTGTTTTAAGAGTGCATTTGTATATTCGATATTTTTTTACTATTTGTTAACGTTCAAATTAATATTGTATATAGTTTTAAACAGATAATAATATTAAAGCTATGTATATACACATAATTCAACTAGATTTTTAATAACTAATTACTCATTTTAATTTGTTATTTGATTTTAATATTTCACCTGAAACAAAAAAAATCTGATTTAAACGAAGTATTATTAATTTTGTCATTGTTGAGAAATATTTTAGTTCGAAGTCATTTTGGCTTAATATAATACATAAAAAATGCTTCAACAAAGTAAATTTTTAAATTAGTGGTTTTGATTGATACGTAGTACTGTTCTATACACTTTTGGCAAAGTTAGTACTTAACTTCATTGTCAGGAATATTCGATCTTTATTCTATATATTATTAAAGTACTTTTAACTTTTGTAACCCAAAGTAATATAACCTGACAATAAGTATTACATGTTCAATGCAAATTTTATTTCTCGCTAATTCCCGCGCGTTAATGCAATATAGGTCATGTACAGCCAATGAGATTTCAGTTACGTCATACACTTCCCTAGTAACCAAAGACACTCTATTTCGTAAATGCGCAAGAATAAACAAATTATTATTTTTTTATTATGAAGTCAAGAAGGTCGTATAGGTATAAAAAAATAAAACTACACGTGACATTTCAAACTTTTTATTTGTTTTTTTTTTATTATCTATATTCCAATTGTAAAAGGGAACCAGTCACTCTATCACTCCGTGTCACTACTCTACTGATCTCATCCATTTACACAATATAAAGAAACATCAACCAAAAATAAGGTTAAAAATTCACAAATACACATTTAATGTTGATTAAGACTACCTTATATTAGACGGTCTGGACGCCGATAGAGGTTTGTACGTAAAAATAAACGAAACCGTATGCAAGTCATAGTAAAATATATTAATGTTTATATGACCAATGCCTCGACGCACAGAGACTTGTTTACGCGGTCTCTGTGCGCGGAGGCGTTAGTCTCACGTCTATGGACGCCAGACCATATATATCTAGAATGTTTAGCTCACGGACTTAGCAACAGTTCGGCCACAAAATACACTTAAGAAACAAAAGATATATAAATATACAACGCTCGACTCACGACGACGGTACATCACACAACTGTTGAACTGATATTATTGCACAATTTAATTATAACATGTGACAAAACTATTTCGGAAACAATGAAAAATTAAAAAAATTTATGAAAAGGCGGCTCCAAAAAGTTCGTATAAGAATAATATTTTTTTTTATCAACCTCTATACCATATCCTTAACCGAATTTAGCGAAGCGAAGTTCCCAAACGTGCAGTCCTGTGTATTTACACATCTTATAATACTCTTAACCAAATCTTAATCGAGTTAGAGACTGCAAATCATATAGTTATAGCCTACATACAAAAACCTTACCCTCCTCACGTATTAAAACCAATTAACAATTTTAATAATTTATACACAGACATACGATCCATTACATGTATTATAAACTACAGAACATTACCACACGTATGTCTGTCATGCCGAGTTCAATGAGCCGAATTTGTACATTAGATGCGTACCATACAAATACAGATCTTACATATATAATTGATGCCGATAGTCAAACGAGACGGAACGGAAATATGGTCCCGACGCGGCGAAACAAAACACATATAATATATAGTACTTTTATTACAAATTAAACATTAAAACAACAGGAGGATTATTCTTAGGCTATATAATTATACTATGCCGGATCTTCGGACTTAGTGCTGTGCTTAGTGCTAGGGTTGCGGCCGACCACACGCTCACGACGATATGAGCTGCAAGCGGACATCACATTATGAACATTAAATACACACGACTGACAACCCTGGATCATTAACGCGTAAAGCAAGAAATATATATATTACTGAGACAGTGCTCACAACCTCAATGTAACAAAAGATGGAATAAAAAAAATAATAAAAATAAAAAACAAAACAAAAAAGTTTGACTACCTTGAAAAGAAAAGCGGGCGTAAAATCCATTTCCACTTCAATTATTTCACATAATATATTATTATTGTAATAATATATAACTATTTCAGTTTATAAACTATATGTATGCTATGTAGACATCTACACTCCGCCTTAACTCGTAAACATCTTAAATACACTGCAACAAACGGAAACAAAAACAAATCATAATATATGCACCGATAAAATAACAAACAAAATATATAAAAAAAACTTCACTAGTACATTCAATGATATTTAAAATAAATAATTCTATTAAAACAAAGAATAAATATCATAAGTTTCTTTCAACAATGAAGAAAAATAGTATGAAAATAATAATTAAAACATTTAAAAGATGTTCAACAATATTATTATTTATACTAATAGTTTTGTGATTATGAGATAGTAACAGATATTAAGAGCAGTTAATATCACACTTCAAATAATTTTCAAAACAAAAAAAGTATATGAAAAAATATAGAAAAGAATATTACCATAAAACTAAAAGGTTCTCTCATTTCAAAACCAAATCATTGAATATCAAAGACTTTTAAAGGACAGACATTTATAAAAATAATCCTTACACACACTTCACCTTTTCCTCATAAAATATCCTACAAAGTCATCTCCATGACATAGAAAAATATTTTTACTAAATATATTACCAATTCTTCCACACCCACATGTATATAATAATAATAATCTTTATTTCGAACACACAGTTCATAGGGTACAAAAAATAGTAGAAAATAAAAGAACATAGAATAGGTACATTAAAAAATGCATGTGTGTGTGTGTGTGTAGGAGTGAGTAGAAGTGTGTCTGTGTGTGTGTGTCTGTGTGTGTGTGTATATTACCGATTTGACAGTAGCCTTAATGAAGTCCTTCTTGTGCGCCAGGTCAAAGTCCGGGTAGTGGCTGTACACCTGCTTGCAGACCGTCTTCATGGTGATCTGCTCCAGGTTGGCGCCCTCAAGGATCTGCTTCACGTACTTCTTAATCTCCTCGTCCTGATTAATACAAATTATCAAACATTATTATTTAATATACCTAAATATTATAAATCCTAGTTGTATCTAACAAAATGTTTGACTTGAACAAGTGTTTTTTTAATTCTTGTATAAATATACCTGTATTCATTCTCATGATACTATTCAAAGTAAAGAAAATATGAATACTTGAAAAATTAATTGACTTCTCTAAATTGTTTTAACGATCTTGGAATTAGAATTAAAGAGGCTAAGATAAAAAACTAAATTAATGACTTAATTAAAGACTATATTTCCATTTCTTATGACTAAACTTCTCATCATTTCATGGACACACTGTGAATAAAAAAATCAAAGTAAAATAAATATACCGCCCCTTTATCTTTAAAACATATTTCGTTTACTTTATTTAAATATCTAGTACGAAACTTCCAAATTATACGTCCGTTCAAGGTTACAGGGATATTATCAAAATGTCAGATAAAATAAAGCATTATAAAATAGAAAATGAAAAATTCGATGAATAGTTTTATTTGTGTGCTCGCGATATTATTTTAGTTTTTAAAATTCATCAACCCGACTAGATTCGAACCTGACAACTCCGATATAACAATCCCAGTCGCTTTTCATTTTGAGCTATAACGTCCGAACCAGTGGCGGCTGTACCTTAAGTGCGCCCGTGCGCTGAACCACCAATTCAAAATATTTAAAAATTACAAAATATTATGTCATCTTAATTTTTAAATTACCATTTTAATATTTATTTTTTAAACATACAAAAAGGTATAAAAAATTTAATTTCCAATTATGGTCAAAAAGTTTGAGCGCTTTACTAAACTCATATCGTGCGCTCCGGCGAGTGCACGAGGACTCCTAATACATCTTGTATGAGATACGCATCAATACGCCTGGCGCGTGAGACAAAAGATAGTTCATAGAAATGTACCGAGTAACGAGTCGGTTCTCGCGCGCCGCACGAAGCGGCCGAAGATTACCGAGAGCACCCGACGTATGACGTATTGAGCCGGCCGGCAAGGGGCCGGCCGAAAGGATGGGTGCTATGATTGACATTTCGTTAATCGTTATTGGTATTGTTTCAACTTTCACTGTATGCGTGACGCGTTAATTCGTTATTGTTTATAATTATTTCCGTAATTCGTTTTAGTTTTTATTTCGTTTCTATAATAGAACTTTTATTCTGTACTGTGTTTTTTATTAGTTGAAAATGAGTATAAATATTGATTATATTAAAGAAAATAACAAAATTTTTCAAAGTAAAGTGTACATAAAATTGGCCGGGCCGCCACGGCCCTTTTTAAATTTAAAACAAGAGTGTAAATCGAAAAATAAAGCATTTATACGAAGTTTTAAAAGTGAAATGTATAATAGAAAGAAATGGTTGTGTGGATGTGAGCGTCTTAATGCATTCTTTTGTTTTCCTTGCATTATTTTTGGCGGAGAATCGATTTGGACAGAAACTGGAATCAAGGATTTGACGCATTTAAGTGAAAAAATAAAAAACACGATTCTTCACAAGTACTACAAAATGTAATGAGTTTGTCTGTGTTAGGCACAGTCGATATTCGTAATCAGCTAGATTCTGTGTATAGAAGTAATATCCAAAAGTATAATAAACAAGTTGATAAAAATAGATACATTTTATCACGTCTTATCGATTGTGTCAAGTTTTGTGGTGCATTTGAGTTAGCTTTGCGAGGTCACGATGAAACTATTGAGTCCAGTAATGCTGGAGTGTTTCGTGGATTAATAGACTTTGTATCAGAGTTGGATATAGTTATGAATTAATGTACAAAAAATAAACATATTTTATGTCAATTGTTGTTTTTGTCAATATTTTAGTGAAAGTGAACCACCAGTTCGATAACCCACCAGCCGCCACTGGTCCGAACTCATTTCAGTGAATAAACATGTTATATATTGGAGGGTGCCATCTATTAATATATAAAGAAAACCCTTAACATAACTTTATATGTATACAACACAACTGTTATTCCTTAGTCCGTAGCAACTACACATTATTGCATAATATTTTGTTCACGTCTTATTATGTAGAAATTCATCAAAATCCGTTATTTTCATTTAACATTTAAGCAATTAATCACCTAAGATTCATACAGTCTTGCAAACATACTTAAATAATACTAGCTTTGCTGTCAGTGGAGTTCGGTTATATCGCGTTTACTTAGAGAACCTTTCAAAAGTCTGGGATGAAAACTATCCAATGTCCTTCTCAAGCTAAACTCTATCTCTGTATCAAATTTCATTAAAATCAGTTCAGTGGTTTAGGCGTGAAAGCGTAACAGACAGACAGACAGTTACTCTCGCATTTATAATATTAGTAGGGATTAGAAGGATCATAATAAGTAGAATATGTGTATATATAGATATAGTCGATGGTATGATAAATGATTACTAACAGTAGGTGGACGCTTGGCTTTCTTGTCAGTAGGCTCATCGTCTTCTTCTCCACTCTCTTCTTCCTCACTTCCTTCTTCATCTTCTTCCTCGCTGCCTTCTTCTCCATCTCCAGATTCATCAGAGGACGCCCGCTTGCCCTTCTTGGCTGGTCTGCCTACTGGCTTGGCACCAGCCTTCTTCTTACCTGTTTTATTTATTTATTTATATAAAGACAACTTTCAAAACAAACACCATTTATAGGTTTTAAAACAAGGTAATTAAAACCTATAAATGGTGTTTTATACATTTTATAGATTGTATTTATAGATGTATATTCCATTTCACTTTTGCTTTATAGCTATCCAAAATATTATAAAGAGCTTATAGAATAATTTTGTATTGTTCTGAAATAATAATTAATTTCTATATATAAGTATTAAGATATTGTTAATATTTACCAGTGGGTGTAGGCGCTTTCCGTTTAGCGGGAGTGGCCTTAGCGCTTGCCTTTGCCACAGCGCCCTTACGACCCTTAGACACAGACCCCGCGGGCCGACCACGCTTGGACTTCGGCTCCTTGTGGAATACACATCATTATTAGTATATTAAGTTACTATAAACTTTACCTAACTTATATGTTACATCAAATTAGTAATCTTTATCTGTAAGATTCAAATAAAGTTAATAAGAGACAAAGTAGTGAAAAATAATCACTTTTAGGTAGATAATATAATGTGTTATAGAATTTTGACCATAAAACTGAACTTTAAACAATCTAGAGGTTAACATCGGAATCCTTAACTTAAAATTTCAAATAATAATTTTCAAATGACCAAACCGCCTTAAATATCGTGGTAATTAATGCTCTTCTTTATGAGAAGCCTTTTCTCAACAATTGGCAACCAAAATATAGATATATGCGTGTGTGTATCTCAATATCCTACTTAATATCAAAATCGCGAAAGTTTGTGAGTGTGTATGTTTGTTACTTCTTCACGCTCGAACGGCTGAACCGATTTTGATAAAATTTTGTATACATGAAGCTGACGTTTAGGAATAACACATAGGCTACTACTTTACATCACGGAAACATCGCGGGGCGCAGCTAGTATGTATATATATACTAACATCTGACTCATCTCCGTCGCTGGCCGAGTCTACGTCGCTCTCACTGTCGGAGCGTTCACTCTCATCCTCACTGTCTGAGCGAGCCCGCCGGCCGCGCCCTCTGCTGCCACCCTGTTACAACACATAATAACACATAACAACACTACCATACACATACAACACATACTAACAAATAAATTTATTATCTTTACATTTTATGTATGTATAAATGTCGATTTCATTATTCATTAGTAAGCAATTAGATTATGATCATTTTGTTTTACAAAATTATGTTATATTTCAGTATTAGTTCAAATCTCACAAATTAGGTGCGCACAACATTAAGTATTATAATCTCTGAATACAGACATAACAGTTTAACCTATATTGTTAGCTTCTTACTTACATACTTTCACTCAATAAGTGTATACAGAAACTAATAATTTAATTTGATTCATTACTTGATAAATTTTTAAGTGCCATCTATTTAAAATAAACAGAAACATCATCGACTTGGTGTTACGTTTCATCTAATGTGAATTATGTCCGCAACTCCCACTCATGACTCATGGCTTATTCTCCATACAAGTCATGTCAAATGACTTTTACACAGAAAATATTTGTATGTATATTTAAAAACCAATCCATATGTTAGTTTTATAAAAACTTTGTATTTATCAAACTTTTCATCTTACCATTCGTCAGTTAGTTATTATTTATTTATGTACCAAAAAGAAAAAACAGTTACAATTAAAGTATTATAAAAGAAATGTGATGTACAGAGGATAACTTATCTCTTAAAAGAGATCTCTACCAGAAACCCTTTTGATAGAGGAAATGAGAAGAGAAATATTTATAAGAGAAGTTATTTGTCCCTTTTTCAAACTGCTGACCCTATTTCCATATCTGTATTTTAACTAGCCCCCTCCCTAACTAACCTTCTTCCTCCCCTTGCTCTTGCGCCCCCTCTTTCCCTTGCTGGACCGACGTCGTCCGGAGCTCTTCCTCTTGCGCGCGGCTCCGCTAACACCCTCCCCACCTTCAGGGTCGAAGTCAGAATCCGCCTCAGAACCACTCGGATTGAAGGAGCCCTGTTTATATATAATAAGCATTAAATACACGAAACTAACATTCAGATGATGCATATAGATTGTTAATGTTAAAAGATGAGTTATGTATATTACTTGTTTGTTATATTTTATTTAAGTAGTTATTAATATTACGAAATGAATTGGTAAATCATTAAGAATTAGTTTTTATAAAATTATGCATTTCATATATTACATGTTTTATAATGCAGCTTTATAGTATTCAATATTTCTGTATACTTGTAGCGGTTTATACAACAAAAAACATGCTCTCAAAAACCAACTAATACTAAAATAATCAAATTATATATAAAGCAAAACAAACAAACTATATTTAATTAAATTTACACACATTATAATGCTTTAAATGTTCAGTCACAGTCATGCATTTATTATAAACTAGATAAATTTAATAAAATGATGATAAAAATAATAAATAAAAATCGTCACATCTACTTAGGTATGAAATATTAACATACACTTACATCAGAGTCCTCCGAGCCATCCTTGGGCTGCTTAGGACCCTTCACCTTCGTCTCCGGGTCAGATTCATACTCCTCGTCCGAGTAGCCTGGAACATTTACATTATATTAACATGATAACTAATGTTTGTAGATATAAGGTATGTTTAAACATATAAGACAAAATATATCAATAAAATAATCACATTATTTTATTTTAGGATACTATTAAATACCTGGAGGTTTTGTGATATTAACCTCTCTGTATATTATATCTAAATATCTTCGAAACAATAATGCTTGATCTTTTTAGAGAGAAGTTTTAGAGAGGTATGAAATTTTACCGTGAATAATAAAATCCGAAGATGAAATATAACAGACATAGACAAAAACAAAAAAAGTAACATCACTACGAATTTAGGATAGTTATACTGATCAATCCTATCCAGGGAGGAAGTAAATCACACATAATATATACCTTAAACTGGCTGTTTATAAAAACGATCACAATCTTCAATGATTATATGTATAAATAAACGACGGCGCTCCGATTTTGAATTAGTTTAATAATAAACTTAATAGGGAATTCAGTTGATTTGTTTCAAGAAATTATGAGCCGTGTTATGTTATTATTATGTTATGTTATTATAACTTATCGGAAAGCTGAAGAGCCGTAGATATTTTTAGCACATCTGCAGTACATCTGTCATAGACTTTTTTTAAGCTATCTTACAAAGAAAAAATATTTTTTTCAAAATTTATTTAATCTTCAACAATTGACTGTTTAGAACGACTCATTTGGTATAGTTACTGGCCGTTTCGTAGCTTAAAATAATAAAGCTATTAATCTTCTACACAAAAACAGCAAAAATAATACAAAATTGGGACACAAAACAAAAATAAGGGGGTAATCGACAAATATCTGTAATTTTTGTAAAATAAATTCAAAGGCCAATAACTTGAGAAGGGTTAGGTTTAGTATATGGGGTTCCTTATTCAAATCGGTTAGGAATGATGGAATCTATCCTCTCTTAAAGGATTTCGGTCGACTTAACCTGTAAACCTGTATATAAAAGACGGCGCGCCGATTTTGAATTAGTTTAAAAATAAACGTAATAAGTAGTTCAGTCGATTTGTTTCATAGCAATTATGACTGGCTAGTGCCGAATAGGGTAGTGATTGTCACTGAATGTGAGGACAGCCATTATGCTATGGGCAACCGTCAAATCGTCAAAGTGTACAAGCCTACCTATTGGCTCCTCATCTATTTTCATCTTATTATTTGAGTGTGATTTTAAATACAATTGTAAAGAAATCCTCTATAATACCATATCCTCTATAATATATCCTCTATAATACCATTCAACGCTCTTTATTAGCGGCATATTGTATCAAAGTGATCAAAGAAAACTTTGCCGCCGGTTTATTTAGGACAGAAAATCCTACTAATATTATAATTGCGAAAGTTTGTGAGTGTGTGTATGTTTGTTACTTCTTCACGCCCAAACGGCTGAAGCGATTTTGATAAAATTTTGTATACATGAAGCTGATGTCCAGGAATGACACATAGGCTACTTCACATGCCGGAAATCCGCGGGTAACACAGCGCAGCTAGTATATCATATATTACTCAATTACTATGAATATATGTATTGCAGTATAAGTTCCGTGTGTAATTTTCTGCCTGTATTCAAGCATATGTTACCTCTGTTATGTATCTTAACGGCCGCTGATCGCCTCGGTCGTCCGCCGGGCGTGGCTGCTTGCGTGGTAGGGGGGCGAGCGACTCCACGCGCGTGGGGGGAATTAGCTACCGGCTGCTGGAGGAAACCTACCAAACGAGCTGCTAGCTCACTGGCGCCACCTGGGTCATACAAGATGATAACTTTATTTTCTATACTTATATAATCATACTTTCGCTTTTTGCTTGCAACAAGCAATGTTATTGATTAATATTAATATATTTTTTCATTTACTGAGCTTAAAAATTGTTTAAAGCTACGATAGTGTAGAATATCATCATTCAAAACAAAGATGGCTCAAGTATCCAAAGTAGTAATTTCATACCTTTTTTATCTAAATCCAACATTTCGCACATAGTCCTCAACTGTTTCGGCTCCATTTTGGCTGTCTCTTCAAGTTTAGCTTTATACTCCGTTGAACCGATCGCCCATTCGTAGCCTTTGAACTTCTTGATGTTCCTTTTGACGTTACGATCCAGGCAGAGTTGCTGTATTCAAAAATATTATATCACTCACAATATTAAAAAATCAATGGACAAATTATATATACAAGGTATTTCATATAATGAGCAAATCATTTTAAATATGTATGTAATGTCATCAGCCTATCAGAAGCCCACTGCTGAGCAAAGGCCTCTTTCTCACATGGGGAGGGTTTGAGCATTAATCACCACGCGTGCTCAAGATTGGTTGCTGATTTCAAACTTGTAATTGTGAAACTATAAATCCAGGTTTCCTTCACGATGTTTTCCTTCACTGTATGTCAGTGATGTCTCAAACTCAAATAACTTTATTCAATATAGTAGCATTACACTTTCTTATTGATGGTCACTTGAGACACTACCACCTGTCTAAATAATATGTATGTAATAGAATATTAATTCCATGTAAATAGTAAGGAAACTCACTCCATACAAATACTGGTGCAATATCTTCTGGTCTTGGGTCTTGAAGCGCGACAGTGACACTTCAACATTGCTGATATGCCCCAAGGGTATTCCTTTCCCAGCTGGTAGTGGTACGGGGGGTTCAGTCGGTTCCTTCTTGGGTTTCGGTTTAGGAGCTTCTTCTTCCTCCTCCTCCTCCTCTTCTTCCTCTCCCTCCTCCTCCCCCTCTTCTTCATCATCACCTTCCTCCTCCCCGTCTTTAGGTTTCTTGACTGGTTTCTTTACCCTTTGTAGAAAATTGATGTTTTTTTTAGAACATACACTTTAATTGTTACATATTCACAGAACATTACATCAAAGGAATTACTGACAAGCATGATTTAATACAATTTCGCCTGATACCCAGATAGTATGTAATATCATTATTACATGTAGAAACTTGATTATCCGGCCCTCAGTTACACGGATTCGCGATTATCCGGACTACGGACAAGTCCGGACAAGAAAAAATGTCACAGCGTAAGAGACTGGTGTTGTTGAAAGTGGCGTACGTCAAATGACAATTACCAAATATTCTAAACCAAATCAAACTTATTATTTTAATTCATGATTACACATTGCAAATTACCAAATAAATGCATATTGCACATTATTGTAATTTATTTTTTAAATAAACATATAATATTATGGTAATACATATGCACAAAACCCGACTTTTCTTCATACATTCGATTATCCGATCCTATCGACAACAATTAGTCCGGTTAATAGTTTCTACTGTACTCCTCTACATTATATGTATAACCTCAATATTCAGTATGTATGTCGTGTATACATTTCTTATTCATATCAACCTACTTCTCTTTCGTCTTCTGTTCATCCTCCTCCTCCCCCTCCTCTCCTTCTTCATCCTCTTCCTCCTCGTCTTCCTCCTCCTCATCTTCTTCCTCTTCTTCGGTGTCCTATTGAAAGTATTTTATTTTAATATTAATTAGGATTAAAACAAAAAAACAGATTTTTTCTTTACATGCTGGAAAACTTTAACATTACATTTATATGTGTATAGAGTTTTGATCAAATAAGTGATGCTTATTTCAAAAGCCCTCATAAAGGGTTCTGTGGAACAGTTTAAAGTCTAAACTGTTCCAAAACTAAACTTTATATAAATAACCGGTGCAATGTGATAGAATTAAAAACCAAAGTTTATTTAAAAAATTGCCGTTAATATAATTAGTATTACAATATTAAGATTTAATTTAATAAGTAGTTGAATGACAGATTTCATGATTCACTTATTTGTTATATTGAACATTTTATAGACAATACTAATGTCGTTATTAAAATAAATACAATTTCAGTTTTAGTCAAACTAAATATATGACATATTAACGGTTTTTTGACATTTCAGGATACACTAAGTTAGCTAGTAGAGAAAATATAATATTTTTGGCTGACTATACATTGCAATACCAAATTTCACTCGAACCATACTGTTTAGAGTTTATGAATGATAATAATTTTAACTGTATTAGTTAAAAATGAACCAAAGTTTGGTTCATTCCACAATGAGCTGAGTTTTTAATTGAATACAGCCATTGCTTTTTTTTATTTATAGCCAGATTTAGTATTTATTAAGAATTATGAGGGAATTGACGATAGAATTAATGAAAGTAAGATAAGGAGACAATACAGAAGAAATTCAAATACCAAATAAGTTATATGTATTATTTTAATTGCTAAGAGTCTACTTAGTATGCTAAAGATAAATAGAAAAAAAATGTCCAACAAAGAATTAAGACTTTATAAGTGTTATGTCATCACCAAATTTATCAAAATCATTTGTGATTAATCAATCAAAACTTTTACAGTTCCAAAGCCATTTTGTTTAATATTAAGTAAACTAAAACTTGTATTGTGACTTATTATTACAACTTTTTTTGATCCATAAATAAATAAATACTATAACAAGATTGGAGAAGATAGATATACCTAATTACAAAATTAGAAAGAAATTTGAGGAAAATTAATTTGAGAAATTAGATATAGGTTTTTAGTTAAGAAACTTTGACAAAATGTATGAAATGTGAAATGATTTCGTTAAAAGATAAGCAGCAAAAAAGGGCCAGACATATTTATAAATTAATATTTCTTTAAATGTACACAATTTGAAGAACAGAGATTTTCATCTCGTCCTTCACCATTCAATGGATTATAATTGGACCGTGCGGATGCCGTTTCAATCGTATTGCAGTGAGAAGAGCTTCAACAGTGACTGGGACTTGCGACCCAGGTGTAGGTTTAAGGGACCACCTCCACCGCCCAATAACGTTATAAAATACAGTATAGTCTAAACAGTTCAAATATCAAGAACCGAAAGTAGTTCCAACCACTATATTGATAAGTTCTTTGGTGAGCCCCTTCAGCGTCGAAAAGTCGATTCAGAGCAAACATTACGAGATGGCATTTACGTTAAGACTCAATATTTGATGATCACATCACTTACCTGGCCCGTTGTTTGGTTCAATGAATACAATTACAAATAAGATTATATAGTGTCATCTGCATCATACTCATGAATTTGTCATGAGATCTATGACTTTGTAGTCTAAATGGAATAAAAATAAAAGTCAAGTACAATCCACTAACCTCTTTCTTGGGTTTTTTCTTAGGAGCTATCTTCTTAGCTCCTTTGTCATTTTCCTTCAAGTCCTCTTTGTCATCCTCCTCATGAGTTTCACCGTTTTCTTCCTATATACAAATAATATATAATTTACTATAGAGATGTGGAATAGTAGATATTTTAGTGAAATAATAATTTTGTGATTGAAAAACAAACATATGGAAATCCTCAAAAAAATCAATTATAATTTCACTGTAATATTCAAATATTTCTTTTTTGATTCTTAAAGCAAAAAAAAAATTGATAAACAAAAATAATTAGTCTATGGTATACATCTATATATATAAAAGAAAGTCGTGTTAGTGACTGCACTTATAACTCAAGAACGGCTGAACCGATTTAGCTGAAAATTGGCAGGGAGGTATTTTAGAACCAGGAAATCGCAATAGGATACTTTTTATCCCGTTCTACAGCATTCCCGTGGGACTTGACATGAAACGTCAGTCACTATAAAACGTGGAATAACGAAACACAATTGACAGCTATGCAATTGACGTATAATGACAGATATGTAATTTAGTATTTGCGGGATAAATTTAGAAAATCATTGTTTTTCACATGGGCAGTTATAGTTTGTGTGTTCACGAGTTAGGAAACCATCCGCTTTATTTGTGTTAACGTTAGAACAAAAAACAAAAAATGTGGTTTACAAAGGAGCACTTCAATGAAACGGATAATTTGCGGACACGTTTAACGCTTCGATTCGGTATTTACTTTGGATTCACTTTCATTTACTTAGAGAAGTTCAATTAAATAACACGTTATTTTTGTAATCGAAATGAATTCATTACTGTTGTGAAATGAAATAAAAATTTTCCTTTTTAAATATAAAACAAAAAAAATCTTCATCTTTTAATCACCAAACGAAATGTTACATAGAACAAAGTCTTCTGGAGGCGAAACGGAGTTCGCCAGGTTTACTAGTAAATTATAGAACGAACATTTCAGTATCATAGTTTTGTTGTTTCATTTTTTTTGTTAATTAATCAGACAAAGATCTACACTTTGAGGTCCGGTCAACATGTGCTATCATGACACGCGCTTGTGATACGTATTTGGTAATCGGATAGCAAGTATGATACGTGTGGATGCGGCTTTAATCTTATATAAACACTTACACACACATATTAGTGAGATTGAACGACTATAAAACGTTATACATACATCAAAAATATATAGAGGTTATATATATATATATATACAATACAATTTTAAATTGATTAGGAATACACTTCATATAAAAAACTTGATATAAAAGCAGGATTCGAACCCCTTATATATCACAATATTGGCTTATTGTATATAGACGTTTTATATTTAGAGATGGGACAATATATTTTTTAATATCTTGTTTTCTATATGTAAAGAAATATTTGTCATACTTATTCTTATTAAATCACAGTTTGTTAAACATGTATCGATTTTCTTAATAATAAAATGAGTTTTGCTAATATAGTTTTTGATGAATTAAACCTTACATGTCATATAAAGGGCTTGGGCAGAAAAAATATGCAACAAATCACGATTGACTGGTTTAAGGAGCAAAACCTAAGTGACTACTGAAACTTGAGCTTTACGAGTTTTGAAGACGTGTTAATTCATTTCTCTTTTTTTTTGCAACAAATACACGGTGTTCTCAAAGTGATATATAATAAAAAAAGGTTAAAACTTAATTTTCATATTAATATTATATAATTTGTCTCTTAATTATTATTTGAGTCGTATAAATTATGTATTACACAGGGTGACTGGTGAATTACTATCAATATTTAAGGAGCATACTCGGTACATGATTCTCATTCGAATTATGTAAAAAAAATAGGCACTTAATTTTTGACAAAATTTCCGTATAAATAAGTAAAGTGTTGACACGTTCCAAGTGTTCAAGTGTGGACGCGTGCGGCGGCGTGCTGATACAACACTACGTCACGACATGCGTATGTGTGAGTGTCAGTGTATACCTAATCTGTAGGGTGTTCATACGATGCGTAATTAATTACATAACTTTTGGTTAACTTTACTTAGAAGTTTATTAATATTTATGTTATATTAATTTTTATTTTGTCATATATGATCGTCAAATATCACGTCCTCAAATATTGATAGTAATTCACCAGTCACCCTGTATATATGAGCTTACAAGAATAAATATTTTTATGCAAATAAAATAAGCAATCGGATAAGACCTTCTGTGTCTAACTTCAAAATACTTAACCACTAATCCTTAGTAAGTTTTAATTTTCAACTTAACACTGGAATTTCAATTTCGGTAACAAACATGTGTTAAAATAAAATCATTTTTGAATGAAATACTTTCAAAATGACGTTAGCGAATTGACAATGTTTACTCGTACTAAGGTAACCAATATTAGGGTTGTCACAAACTGTACATTACCTTCTTAGCGTGTTCCGTCTTCACAGCCCTATCATCCTTGGAGTCTTCGCCCTGACAGTCATCTTCTTTGCCGTTCGCCGTTGTTGATTTCGCGTCACCTATAAAATTATATAATAATCAAATTCTCTATATATGTACATAATTGTGCGTATAAATATATTTGTAGTAAATTCATAGGCATTAGAACGATTTGGTCAAAAAAAAAAATAAACATACAAAATTTAATTGCACATTATTGGCATAAAATTAAAAAAAAAACGGAACTGAATCATATGAACAAAAAACAAAATAAATATGTAAAAAGATAATTAATAATAATTATTCTTTACTAATTAGAATATGTAGTATTAGTGTTATTGGAATTAAAATGAGATGATTTCTTAATATGTATTATGAAATGAAATGCTGTTAGAAATGGTATTTAATGTTGTGAAGGCATCCCATGATCAATCTTGAGATACTCAAAATATCTTAAGACTGAATGAAATCATAGTCTTATTTCAGTACGGTGATATACAGGGTGACTGGTGAATTACTATCAATATTTAAGGAGCATACTCGGTACATGATTCTCATTCGAATTATGTAAAAAAAATAGGCACTTAATTTTTGACAAAATTTCCGTATAAATAAGTAAAGTGTTGACACGTTCCAAGTGTTCAAGTGTGGACGCATGCGGCGACGTGTTGATACAACACCACGTCACGACATGCGTATGTGTGAGTGTGTGTGTATACCTTATCTGTAGGGTGTTCATACGATGCGTAATTAATTACATAACTTTTGGTTAACTTTACTTAGAAGTTTATTAATATTTATGTTATATTAATTTTTATTTTGTCATATATGATCGTCAAATATCACGTCCTCAAATATTGATAGTAATTCACCAGTCACCCTGTATATGTATATGTATGTCGGAAATACAGAATCGTCATGACTATAGTCAGACATATTTTAATACTGTTGGCGTATCTTTTGGGTCAACGAGTTTTAAAAGAAATTGTCATTTTGTTGAGGGAAGTGTAATATTTAATTTCAAACCATCTTTAAGTCATGGAGGTAGAGCCTAGCTGTGGTTAGCGTTGCCAGGCGTCCGGATAAACCCAGACATAGTTAGGCTTTTTGATTGCATGTCCGGCCAAAATAAATGGTGTCCGGCTTTTGTAAGGCTTTTTACATTTCGGTTTGTACATGGATGACTTTAAAAGATGTTCCTGAATGGAATCAAGTTTCCGATACTATAAGTATCCTATCGCAAAACAACGTTAAAATCGACGATAGCAAATTTTTTGACCAACTGCAAAATCTTAAAAGTTTTCTAAATACTAACAAAGAGAACGTTGATTTCAAGAAGGTTTTAGCACATAAGAAATGGGTAGCCTATTTTAAATCGATGATAAGTCCAGATTGCTTTTCAGAATTCCTAACTATTTGTCAGTATAACTTTGTTATCCCAGGACATAACGCAAACGTTGAAAGAGTTTTTTCCTTGATAGGTCAGCAATGGACGAAAGAACGCTACAGATTACATGTTAATACTGTTTCCCAAATGTTGGTTGTAGAACTTAATTTAAAACATTTGACTTATAAGGACTTTAACAACAACATTTTGAAAGAAACTGAGCTCTTAAAGCAGGTTTCGACAAACCAAAAATATTAATAATTATTTTTATTGTGTAACTCAAAGGGAAAACGTTTTTTTTTTTTTCGTTTTTTTATTTTAACTTAAAAAGAAGGTATTGATTTTTTTTTAGTTAAAAAAGTATAATTTGTGCCGTTCTTATTATTTAAGAAACCTATCTATGACTGATTTGGCATTCGATTTTATTTATTATTTCAATAGAAATTAACACGATTGAAAATAAATTAAAATAAAAAAGAAATGACCATTTAGTTTAACTCAATTTTACATTTACTCAAAGCACAAACAAAATATAACAACTACTAAAAACACTTTTTTTTTATGTCGCAGGGAAACTCTTTTTACGAGCCGTCAACTGGCCTTGGTGGGGCCGGAAGGGATGTGTGAGGCTCGGCCTGGGCAGGCCCCTACTCACTAAAACCACTGCGAAAGCCCTCGGCCGCTATGTCAGTGTACCCCGGATTTGTCAGCGACAGGGCAAACTACTAAAAACACTACAGCAACCAAGTATATACCACCCTCATAATTTTTAATCTTCATAATCTTCACATAATCCAAATCATATCATCGTAAACAAAGCAAGAATCGTATTGGTGTCCTGTGGCTTTTCATCAAATCCCTCCCGACAAACCACATGCAAGCGGCAATAAGGACCTCCTTAGCAGTTTTACTTGGATCAATCAAACAAATTTCAAGTTCATATGTGTAAACGCAAGTAGTTGGAAAACCGGTTGTAAAATAATTTGAAAAGTTTTCTAATATACTGATAAGTGATTTTTTATTTTCAGTTGATACGTCAGTATCTACTATCCCAAATTGTTTATTTTATCGGGACTAATTGTAGTACACAAATTAATTCATAAGGACGATATTAACCTACTAGTCTAGGTGACGTAGTTTTTTCCATCATTAGGTCGACTGGTGTTCAAATGTAGAAGGGTAGCTGGAATGGCCTCCGTCAACAAAAATCTCGCACAAAAAAGCTCATTGAATTGTGGTTAAGTGATTAAGGCACATGTAACTTGTGATAGCTTCACGCGGTTCCCTTCAACGCTTTTCTGAGCGCGACGTTTAACTGACATCAGGATTCAGGGTTGTCAAACAAACTTAAGTTGGCGCACGCGCACTACGATTGAGGGTCCGACATATATATGGTCCTATACAGTCCTTGGAAGATTTTGGTTTTTGATATAAACCAGAATATTATTACTGGTCTATAACATGTAGCCCACATAAGCTATTACATTAGTTCTTATGAATAATTACAGACTTAGTGAAAGTAAAGCCAATTAGAAGCATAAGATAGGCTATAAACATAATCTGCCTTTTTAGCGCCAATGTCGGATAAAAGAAAGAAATATAATGGTTAAATTATATGTTACTGCTAAAAGATGCGTATTTATTCACAACATTAATTGACATCCGTAAAACTTAAAAATTTTAAGATTTGTGGTTTTTTATGTAATTAATATAATGAAAATGACAAAATATACAAATTTAGTGATTTAACTAACATATGTACATATATTAATTCTGTCATAACTTTGATAAACCTTCATAGTTTATCTACTAACATAAATGGGAATATGCATGTTAATGAAATGTACGGATTTTTGTTGATATTCAAACAGTACACAACGGATTTCAAACTACTACTACTGTCGTATGCATAGGATTATCATCTATCCCAAAACTCCGTTTTGTTCCCGCGGTATAACTCGGTAACAGTCGTATTTAGTATTAAGTCGCATGATACAGGAAATTTTTACCGCTAACGGTTTTTCAACATACCTAATACATATATGTATGTATATTTTTTCAACACACTAGATGCATTTCTTTAAGCCTAATTTAAAAGACCACTTAGACACAGTCGTATGTAAGAACTAGTATGTAATAAAAAAAATATCTTATAAAATTTGAGTTTATACTTCATATATTTTAAGTCTTTGGCATGAATCTATAATTTTGATAATTTACAAATACGTATTAACTATTCACTGGTCATATAAATAAAGTAGGTAATATAAAAATTAAAACGCAAATCATTCGATACGAATTAAATAAATAAAAATATATATTATTCAGATTAATTTCTTTTTTATAACAAAAATATATTATCACGGAGACCACTAAAGAGGGCACCGAAACATCTGACTGATAAGAGATAAAGCCACAAACAAAACAAAAATAATATATCTAGAGATTAAACTCTATCACTATGTGTTAATAATAATATTAAAACACTAGCTTTCCGCCCGCAGCTTCGCCCGCGTGGAGTTCGGTTATATCGCGTTTCCAAGAGAACCTTTCAAAAGTCTGGAATAAAAACTATCCCATGTTCTTTGTCAAGGTCAACTCCATCTCTGTACCAAATTTCATTAAAATCAGTTCAGTGGTTTAGGCGTGAAAGCGTAACAGACAGACAGAAAGAGTTACTTTCGCATTTATAATATTAGTAGGGATGAATGTTTGTTGCTATTTCAATCAAAAATTACTAAATAGATTTTGATTAAACTTTACGGTTATGTAGCTAAGGTATCAGAATGAGACAAGCTGTAATTTATCCCTGAAATCCGTGTATTTCCCGCGGGAGCGAGGCATAAATTTTATAATGTAAGTCACGTGATAGGCTATAGATAGTAATAGAGATACTTTATACATTTCTCTCTAATTTAATTCAAAAATTCAAGAGGGTCAAGACGCAGACAAAAACTGTGAAGCTAAATAAATTTTACAATGTAACTTTTACATTACGTTTTTGTTATATACATGATATTTAAGTAATTATATAACAATTTTTTTAAGGTATTTTCAAGCAATTCTTATCTTTTATTTTCGTTTTAACATTATTAACACTAGTATACTTTCTGATAGTATTTAGACACTACTGACAGGCGGTGAAAGAAAATATCTTGAGGAATCCTGGACTTATAATTTTACAATTATAAGTGTGAAATCGCCTATCCACCGTGAGCTAGCGTGTTGATTAATGCTCTAACATTCTCCCTGTGAGAGGCTTTTGCTCAGCAATGGGCTCCTATAGGCTGATGACGATGAGTGTTAGAATAAAACCCTTAATAATAAGGGTTTTTAAATGTTTGAATTATAGAAATTTCAAATATCTTAAGTCTCATATATAAAAGGAAAAGTGTGCAGCATTATTTCCAAGAGATCTTTTCAATCTTTGACGGTAGAAATAATACTCATAGAAAAACAGTTGAATTGAGTACTCCCTTCTTTAATGTCAGTTAAACGGTTTTCTGAGATGAGAAAAAGTTTCAATAGCAAATAAACTTACCCGCGTAAATCGGAGGCTTGGAATTTTTATTATAATTATATACATTAAAGTTGTTTTACAATTTAATATGTGTTTATTGAACACGCAACAAGTTAATGGTTCCTGCGTTTTTAGTGTGACTTGTGATCATGTTAATGTGTGAATACTTACTTCTTTTTATTATTAGTTACAAAACGAATGATTGTTACTTGGTCAGAATGAAACATGTAGCGTATCTGATATAGAAGAAGTACATATGCTTGGACTAACTAACTAGTTTAGATTATCGCTGATAGGAGGTAGCGGCTTCGAATCCATGTTGTGATGATAAAAATACCTTTGATATTGGTATTGAAATTTTGTAATAAGTAAGTCTTAGTGGCTGTTTAAGTTTATAGTTATATTATCATGTGTTTTTCTTGTATATCAAACACGCCGCCAGTATCCCCAAGCGCGCGTACTGGTTCTATCATCACAGTAATGTTCTGACCTTCTATATTGTCCGCTACGTTGTTACCTTGCGCGTCCATTTGCGCCGACTCACCCTTCGAGTCCTGGGATGATTCGTCTTCCGTTGTCTGCCCGTCGCCGGTTCCGGATTTCTTGTCTTCATCCTGGACCAAGGAGGTTTTATGTTTTAGTTTTTTTTTTTTACATGTTACTGAATCATTAATGTACATTAATAATCATCCTGGACCAAAGAGGTTTTATGTTTTAGAATTTTTTTTACATTACTGAATCATTTATGTACATTTATATTCATCTTGGACCAAAGAGGTTATATATATATTTTTTGTTATAGCCTTAAGTACCTATACAAATAAAGTTATTGTTGGTAATGACAATTTTATGTAATATTAAGGAGGTACTAATATTAGTTTTTTTTATATGAACTTAAAATTGTCATATATTATGATTGAACCAATGGTTTGTGCGAATAAGTTTGGACCAAAGAGATTTGTTAATTTCTTTTTTACCTAAATATCAATTTTATCCACATTGTACATTTTGTTATAGTAAAAGCCTCTTGTTGAAAATCTGCACTTAGTAACAAATTAGAAGTATTTTTAAGTGATAATCTCTATCAAGGCAACTTTTTTAATATTTTTGGTTAATTTTCTTTCTTTTTTTACAATGTGATGTATCTCAAGGTCAGACATTTAATACTCAAGATACTTTTAGACAATTTTTGTAAAATACATTAATTATTGGTCATTTTTGGTATTTGATTTAACAATTTGTACTGATTGTAAGGTGTAACATTAGGTTTTCTTAGAATATTTCTATGGTTGAACATTACAAGTTCATACAAGTGATAATAATTAAATTACTTTTAACTTTAGTAATACAAAATCATCAACAAGACATAAAATTTATAACATTATGGACAGATATTTTTTACAATAAGAATGTTAGTAGGAAATGATTCTAACAATTATCATAACTTAACAAAAAGAGAAACAATAAGATTATTTAATGTTTTTACATATATTTTTTTTATCAAGTGAATGAATGTTATGTATAAATATCAATGATTATAACATTTTTACGTAATGATTAGCAAAAATATATTTAAAATTAGTCTCTTTATAGCATATGTGAAGAAATTTACAAAAGATATACACATATATTGAGATATATCATTTGCAATACAATCAATCTACACTTATGTACGTAAGCGCCGGGACGTGGTATTATAAAACTGAGCCTTAACGTAACTACAATAAAACACAAACTCCGATACAACATCACCTACACTACCGTGTTGTCTATGTCGCTTATAGAGCCGTACTTAACAACTATGCACTTATATTACTGAAAATACGATTCCTGTTTTAACCGAGACTAACATCCGGAATGCTATAAAAAATAAACATTTACTAGGTATATCCGATTTTAACAATTGCGCATAAGATATATCTTATGAGACGCAAAAAAAATCGAATAGAAAAACTAAGGAGGTCACCATTAAAGGCCTCAAGACTGGGTGCTCCGGTTTTATTTACATCGCCCGTTCAGTTTGGAGCGTAAATAATAACGCGCGAAGCGACTGCTCAGTGGAATAACATCATTTTACGATATATTTGAATAGAAATTTCGCAAGAAACAAAATATCAAGGTCATGCGGATTTCCTATCAATGTCATACATATCGTGCACATTCAACAAAGGCCCTGCAATGAAATGCAAAGGGGCGGGGGTGCGAAATATGCGAAATGTTGATAAATATCCCATAAGAATCAGTTTCGATAACTGATTAAGACCTCATAATCACTTTTAAATGTGAAATAATGACGAATATCACAACCCTCCGTGGCGCAGTTCCCGCGTTTAGCGGGAAGCAAACGTTCTGTCAGCCATGTTGAGACGCAGGCAAACATTAATGATATAACACGGAAATAACATCACTTCACACCTCAAATAGTCCTTAATAGATGCGCACTATTATAAAGAAAATTAATACAAATACATTTTTCACAACTATACCTGATTGTCACTGATTTTCGCTTTATCGGTATCACCCGACATTTTTCCTATGAAGAAATTGAAAGCGAATTCCAAGCGTCTTCAAACACCGGACAACACAAATGCACGCACCCACAACATAGAAAAAAGTTTGCGTTTAGTTTCACACAATGCAAATATGTTCCGGCGGGAATATATTTACAAACTATTTCAAAAATAGTGTATACTATTGTTTAAAAATGATATTAAAATTTATATATATTATATTTATAAAACTATAAAATATTTATAGCATAAAAGTATTCAAAAGAAAACACATATAGTGTCACATTTCTACAAATGTATTTATTATAATATATAATTTAAATACAATTGCCTATTTCTTTTAATATTTTTGAGCTCTTTTCTAACTCAAAAATAATTTTTATAAAGTAATACTTTATGGCTATAAGTAATAACAAAACGCATCAACCTATAGACAAAGTAGAAAATCGTGTGCCTAACTTTGCATTAATAATTTGTTTGTTTTACGTTTTTATTTTGATTATTACTATTTTCATTATTTTCTTTAATAGATTTAAATTAAAAACAGGGCATTTTAATGTTCTTGCTTAAACCACTTTTAATAATTATTCGTCTTATTGACGCGTAAGTTGAAACAGACCAATCGGAACATAGCATCAGATTAACTCACGCAGTTTAATTGGTCAGTTTGATATTATGTGATATTGCGACATTTTTGACAACGTCTATGAATAAGTTCTTTTGTTTGTGGTCCGCGTCTTCCTTTCAGCTTTCTGAGACAACAGTGTAATATATTTTGGATCTTTTGATCCATTTTTAATGGCTGCCTTATTGCGCGGTTGAATGGTTGCTTTAATTTAAACATGAGTGATTATTCTTCTATGGCTACGTTTCAAAATAATAGCCAAACGGGGGGTTTTGCGGCTGCTGTACAACGTGCTAGATTGGTGAGCGGATATGTATAAATTATAATCTGCATGAACGTTACTCTTTGACATATTATCATGATTTTATCGGTATTATTTCATTTTACCCCTCGTTAAGCGATATTCTAATGTCATAGAAATTCTACCCGTTTTATGCAAATATAATTTAATAAAAGTCCACAAAACGGTAACCTACTTTTTGTTAGGCGTTCCGCAGTTGTTTAAGTTTTCGTTGTTTTTGCTGGATGTTAATTATTTGTAAACGATTATCTTGACTGTGTTTTAAGGTTGCCGCTAAGATCGAAGGTGGTGGTAGCAAGAGACCTTTAGACGACGTGTCTGAATCGGGACCAACTCCTAAAAAATTAGCGGCGATTGACCCTTATCCAACTCAACAACAACAAAATATGAGGTATGAATTACACAACTTCAGGTTAAAACCTTCAAGCTCATTATAATAATCATTTAATGATATACTTAAGTTAACTAAGATGTGTACATCTTAATATTAAATAAAAATTATTATATTGAAAGCCCAAATTAAAATACAATCTAAGATAAAAATTGGTAGTATCTTTTAAAATGTGGAGGACAGCAATAATCTAGCTACGGATTAGAGATTCATATAACTATTTTAAAATTGCAATTAGTATGGAACTTTTACTGTTAAATGAATGAAGTTTTACATAACCATCTATTTTAACTTGAGACTTATTAAAAGAACTTCACAATAGATATATTTGAGTAAATATAACATTCAAAAAGATATAATTATTTTGTAAAAACGGTTTAGGTGAAAAAAAGATTATTGTTATCTTCGCCAAGGAATTATTTTGTTTATTCTAGTACAAAAAACAAATGTACTCATCCTTATTTGCTGTTTGATATAGTATGTACTTTATTTTGCCAAAGTTCATATATATTGTGGTTAATATGCTACTTGAAATAATGGTTATTAGAAAGTTGTTACCACTTTAACTGTTGTGGTAACTGTAAATATACCTAGTATACATGTGAGAAAGTTAGATGTCCTATAATTAAACATATGTATGTATATACATTACTTATTATTATTAATAATTTTAGTTAAATATTCCTTGACTAACATCTCGCCTTATTAATTATATGAACTACCTCAGTTAGTAAATTAACTAGTTTATGGGTTACCCAAGATTGTAAATACACTATGCAAGTTATGAGAGTAAGCATCTATCATGTTTGTAGATTACAACATTATTGTCTGAATTATTGAGTAACAACAAAACATAGCATGTATGAAATAGGAAAAGGTAATCTGAACTTTGTGAATAAATCATGGATAAATTGGGCAATTATATAATTGAGATATATCCATCAACTTCTATTTTATAATTCGATAAATTTGTTTTGTAAAAGAGAGTCAAGTTCCTTTTGGTAAATACATATAATGACCAATCATATGAAAAACAATACAAAATCCCTGTGGATATTTGTGGTTCCCTGTCCAGACCAGACATATTTATGTATTCGTAAATTTTTAGACTTGTTGAGTTTATAGAGCTTATGGTTCCTACGAAAACCAACATCCCAAAAGACCATACCATCAAGGTCAATAAATATTACAAGCTCACTAACTAACTCACTCGGACTAGGTTCGTCGTAAATTTGTACACGGTAGAGGTGGAAGTGAGAGGTATAACATCTAAACCCATCTCCAACCTACTAAAAGACTTGGGCTTGTCCAGAACTATAACAATTAATTCTTAGAATGTACTTTGAAAATAGCCATGTAATGCTGAGAAATTTTCTTCTTGTTATTATACAGAAACTAAATCCAAGTATACATGCTTTAACTTCCATACATACACATTAATATGTACTGATAAACTATAAGTATCTCATTCATCTCATATTAAATTGTGTATATAATATATGAGACAAATATATATATTAAAAAAAACCCGCTGAGTTTCTTTCGCCGGTTCTTCTCAGGTCAAGGTATTTTCTTTTCTGAACCGGTGGTAGTGTCTCAAGTGACAATAAGAAAGTGTAATACTTCTTTATTGAATAGAGTTATTTGAGTTTATCATTGTTTTCTAGTGCAACAGCAGCAGCAGCGGCAGCCGCAGCAGCAGCAGCAGCACGTATATCAACCGCCCCCCCGCCAGCACCTCCTGCCGCACCCCCTAATATGAACATGCCCGACTCAGCCATCAACGAGTACATTAGGGTTCCAGATAAAATGGTTGGACTTAGTAAGTTTCGATGAATCTATTATCTATCATTAGTTTAATTGTATGATTATTGCTAACATTAAATATGACTAATTATTTAAATTAAATGTATATATAATATAATGTATTATCATGTGTATATACTTAAATATTTATATTATTATAATGTTTTAGAATATAACTAACACGATACATGCATGTACAAACAACACTAACACACAGAGATCCTTCACATGGTGCTACTGAGAAACGAATGCATGTCCTGTAGTCATAGGTCGAGGTGGGGAGCAGATCACCCGTCTGCAAGCGGAGTCGGGCTGCAAGATACAGATGGCTCCGGACTCTGGGGGACAACCCGACAGGCTGTGTACACTCACAGGTTCTAGGGAGGCTATCAACAGAGCTAAGTATGTACATACATTATATACAAGTACATACTATACTAACTCATGTTCTGAGACATTTCTAAGAGTAGATTAGTAAGGAATTTCAATAAAATTGACCATTTTTATGTATTTTATTATATATAACTTTCAGCCCGCAGCTTCGCCCGCGTGGAGTTCGTTATATCGCGTTTCCAAGAAAAACTTTTAAAAGTCTGGGATAAAAACTATCCTATGTTCTTTCTCAAGGTCAACTCTATCTCAGTACCAAATTTCATTAAAATCAGTTCAGTGGTTTAGGCGTGAAAGAGTAACAGACAGACAGACAGACAGACAGACAGACAGACAGACAGAGTTACTTTCGGTCAACTTTGTCTGTAGCAAATTTCGTTAAAATCAGTTCAGTGGTTTAGGCGTGAAAGCGTAACAGACAGACAGACAGTAATTTTCGCATTTATAATATTAGTAGAGATGCTGTGAGTTTAAAGTACACACAGAAGATTTTCTTTGAAATGAAATTTACATATTATTATGCTTCATATTGAGTTTAATACATTGATACATCATACACAATAAATAGGTTTTATTTAATGGAGTGTGTACTTGTTTTTTGTACAGAGACTTAGTGAATCAAATCGTGAATCATCGGGGACGGGAGAATGCTCCTCAACAACATGACGGCCCTGGGGCTATGCCCCCAATGAACAGGGGCGCCGGTGGCGGCAGCGGAGGCCTGGCTATTACTGTTAGTATACCTTTATTCCAAATATTAATTTGTTACTGCCATTATTTGATTATGAACTAGATTTTTTCGTATGAAATTATGATTTCATTGCCACCTCAAATCTGTAAACAAAAATATTCATAAAGTATTTTTTCTTAGTGTTTAAGTAGTGAAAGGTAAAGTAATTTTCCGATATAATAAAATATTATAGGAAAATCTTGATTAAATCAAATTTTTTTTGTATGCCATTAATATTAATAATTTCTCTGTAGGAAGAAATAATGTTACCCGGACCTAAAGTTGGTCTGATTATTGGTAAGAATGGAAAAACTATCAAGCAGTTGCAAGAACAATCCGGAGCCAAAATGGTTGTAATACAAGAGGGGCCCAATACTGAATATGTAAGTTTAAATAGAAATTAATATATTAAAAGAAATAATTGAACAAATTACCCAATTTTTACTTTTCCTATATAATTTTTATTTAGAAAAAATAACTCTATTATTTGTCAGAACATACATTTTTACAAGGTTTGATTAGTATTAGAAAAAAAGAAAGTTATAACTTCATCAAATAGCATTAGTAGTACTAGATAAAATGTATTTTTTCATATCACAAGCATTTTTAAAAATAATGATAACTAAATTTAAATTAAAAAGTGACTTGTCATGTATATAATTGTATTAATTTAAAAAACATTTTAAATCATAATTTTAATATTACGTGCAATATACGTACATTATAATTGTACAGAAACTAATCCTTATAAATTTGAGTCATCAAATATAAGGAATTCATGAATGTTAAACTTCTAACATTCATTATTTAGTTCTACAATACAAGCTTTTAGTAATGAAACAGAACCAATGTATAAACAGAACCAATGTACATAATATATACAGGGCGACTGGTGAATTACTATCAATATTTAAGGAGAATACTCGGTACATGATTCTCATTCGAATTATGTAAAAAAAGTAAGCACTTAATTTTTGACAAAATTTCCGTATAAATAAATAAAGTGTTGACACGTTCCAAGTGTTCCAAGTGTGGACGCGTGCGGGGGCGTGCTGAAACAACACCCCGCCGCCGCACGTGTATGTGTGAGTGTGTGTGTATACCTAATCTGTAGGGTGTTCACACGATGCGTAATTAATTACACAACTTTTGGTTAACTTTACTTAGAAGTTTATTGATATTTATGTTATATTAATTTTTATTTTGTCATATATGATCGTCAAATATCACGTCCTCAAGTATCGATAGTAATTCACCAGTCACCCTGTATAATATATATGTAACAAACTTATCATACACATATTTTTTTGTAGGAGAAACCTCTCCGTATATCTGGAGATCCGTCCAAGGTAGAGCATGCTAAACAACTGGTGTATGAACTGCTCGCTGATAAGGAGATGCAACAGGGAGGTCAGCAGCGGCAGTATGAAGATGGTTATCAACAAGAACAGGGGAACGGATTGGCCACTAATAGTACTGAGGTATTGAAACGACCAATTCAATAGTACCTATTTATCTTCTATCTTCTACCTGGCAATTTCCTGGCTATAGCCAGGGTCTGCCTTACATGCTGTGAATAGTTTTGGCTAATTGTTTTTTTTACAACCGGCTGCCTGACATCAACCTCTTTTGGGAATCAGCATTAATTAGTGATTATTCCAAAGTACCTATTTATATATATATAGATATTTAAATGACACTAATATTCTAGGATTACTACGGGTTTGTTATCACTATTGAAACTATCGATACCTCCCATGTAAGTTGTTGTATGCCACAAAAATGCTATTTTGCTTTTTTTATGAAAAATAGCCTATTATGGATCATTACATCCATTCGATGTAAAAAAACATCAAAAACACTATTTTTAAAGGATTTGTCAGACGCATAATGTTGTAATTTTCAAACGCGAACGGATTAAACTGATGTATGTATGTATGGGCACATAATGTGCCTATACAATTGTATACGCGGGGCGCGAGGTGGGTAAAATCACGCGCTCAATAGGCATATTAATTAAAATATCTTTTAACGTAGTTAAGAAAACTATTATATTAAATTTAAATACGAAATTTTAAAAAGATGCATCAATAAATGCAGATTTTGGTTTAATTTGAATCTTTGAAACACTCTACTGTACAATTACAGTTTTAGAGATACAACTATGTACTTACGTGGGTGGTATTGCTATATACTACCAATTTTTCGGTTACTTTGCAGCAACCGTAAACATTGTATTGAAATGATAAGTTGAGTACTAATGACATAATTACATATTTAAATGACACTACATAATGTTTTGCAATTATGACGCGTTCTTTTATTATTATGGACAGACGAGATGTGAATGAGATGAATCCGTGATCACAGTTGCTTCAAAATAATCGAAACGTCGGGAGTGTGTAGTTTATAATTATGAAAGAAATACATAGTTATCCGAAAATATTACTTTAATTTAAATGAATACTCGCGAAAGTCTTCGATCTCTTTATAAATAAGATATGTTTTTTATATAGAACATGTCATATGTCAGGTTTTACGTGTAACAAGTTTTGAAGCTCTTCTCATAAAAATTAATCCTTAAAAAAATATATAGAAGATCAGATAATACACAATGTACAGGGTGACTGGTGAATTACTATCGATATTTGAGGACGTGATATTTGACGATCATATATGACGAAATAAAAATTAATATAACATTAATATTAATAAACTTCTAAGTAAAGTTAAACAAAAGTTATGTAATTAATTACGCATCGTATGAACACCCTACAGATTAAGGTATACACACACACTCACACAGACGCGGCGGCGGCGTGTTGTTGTATCAGCACGCCGCCGCACGCGTCCACACTTGGAACACTTGGAACGTGTACACACTTTATTTATTTATACGGAAATTTTGTCAAAAATTAATTACCTATTTTTTTTACATAATTCGAATGAGAATCATGTACCGAGTATGCTCCTTAAATATTGATAGTAATTCACCAATCACCCTGTATATTAGTCAAGACACTTGTGAACACACTTAAAGTGATGCAGATATTGGTCAAAGTTGATATTAATGTTAATAATTAAATACTTCTTAGATGAATTTTATATTCTCTTAATAAAACAGTCTTTTTTATACATGTTATTAATACTGTACTATATATCTATAGGTCTTGGTACCGAAGGTAGCAGTGGGTGTAGTGATTGGTCGTGGTGGGGATATGATTAAGAAAATACAAGCAGATACGGGTTGCAGAGTACAGTTTCATCAGGAGAGAGATGACGGCCCGGGGGATAAAAGGTAATACATATATGTATATATAGACTAGCTGCGCCCCGCGGTGTTAACAGCGGATTTCCGAGATTTCCCGGATGTAACGTAGCCTATGTGTTATTCCTGGACGTCAGCTTGCTGTATACAAAATTTCATCAAAATCAGATGAGCGTTTGAATAAGTAACAAACATACACACACACTCACAAACTTTCGCAATTTTAATATTAGTAGGATTATTAATGATTAAAACTGTAAATTTAAGAGAAAATTGCATTGTTTTGTATTGTAAAATTGTTCTTAAACTTTCTTTTAATGTGTTAGTTGTAATTTTTTTATAGAGAAAGTTTTTAATCATTTAAATACGAGTATGCACATTACTAAATTCCTATATAGATATAAATTCAGGCAGGTATGTTTTTTTCATAATATACATTTTATTTATTTGTTTTATTAATTATAATCTGTGTTTTTATTCCCACAGATGTTACCTACAAGGAAAGCCACATCAAGTGGATCAAGCTAGACAAATGATAGAAGATCTGATATCTAGTGTCAATGTAAGTGAAATTTGTTACAGAAAATAGACTGTCGGCCAGCATAAAACGAACTGAATTTTTACACTGGTTTTTGGAAAACGTATGAACGATTTTATAACCAAAATTTTAAGAATCTTGATGTTAAATACATTTAAAAAACATTTCTTCTAAATACATGATTAGTTTGGATTAGATGTTAAATATACATTTAAAAATATCTTTCTTTTAAATGAAAGTAATTTTTTCGCATTACTACGTGTATTTTATTAATTTTAAAAGTACTCCCGACGTTTCAGTTATATCGTTTGCCCATGATCATTGTTAATGCAAGCCTTAGATCCCATAATATTTTTCTTTATTAATCTCTAACTAAATTACTCCTTACTATCTTTAATTTATTGAGTCGTCATGAATTGTAAATTCTTCTGATTCCTTTCTTTGAAGGTTCTTGAAACTTTCTTCTGCTTCCAATGTAGATACGTGGATTTATCCAATGGTAGCTACGCGGAATTGCACTATCCCCGACGATATATTTTAACCTAATTATTAAAATTTTGTTAACAAACAGTTGGCGATCCGTTCCGGTCGAGGTCGTAACGCCCAGAGGAACGGCAGCGAGCGTGACTACCCTCAGTGGGAAGGGCAGGGCCAGGAGGTCAGGGTCACCTTCACCGTCTCATCTGTCAAGTGCGGGCTCATCATAGGAAGAGGTATGGAGTTATACACTTTATCTAACACTAAATAAGGTGCAATTTCATTTGATGGCATTAGTTATTCGCATTTTGTTATTAAGAGGTATGGAGTTTTAGACTTCATTCATCACCAAATAAGGTGCAATTTTATTTAATGGCATTAGTTCTTTGCATTTTGTTTATTGCTATGGTGATGGTGATTAAATTCAGTCATACATGTTACTTAAATGAAAGATTTTAAATATCAACAGTTGTTCTTTATTTGCAGCAATACAACATCACTAAGAAATCTTATAGTTGAAAATTTCATTAATAGAAAAATCAAAAGTTTTTTTAACTTATAGATAATTCAAAGGTTATCTTCATTCAGATATAATAAGTTGAACTAAAAGCTTTATTATATTTACTTATTATACCCGATATATTTCTCAGGTGGTGAAGTAATAAAGCAGATAAATGCACAGTCCGGAGCACACTGTGAATTGGATAGACGAGCACAGAACAATGATCGTAACAACAGAGTGTTCTACATCCGAGGACACCCAGACGCTGTGGAGATGTGCAAGAGAATCATTATGGAGAAAGTTGGAATGGTGGGCAATTATTATAGACATTGGCAGAATAATCATAAACTGAAACCTCTTAGTAATTGTCATCAAAAAGTACTAGTCATTATATTCATATGTCTAAAGCACTATTACTGTGCTGTATACATACATACAAAAACTCTAACCTAAATATGTATTAGCAGTGAATGCAATATACTAAGTAATTGATTGTGTTTTATCCAACAGCCAGTAAATTTCGTCCCGGACAACGGTAATGGCAACACCAGTAGTAATAATAGCGGTAGTGGCGAATACTACGGCCAACCCCCAGCCCCTGGGCCATCAGCGTGGGGTTACAACCCCCATTGGCATCATACGCAGCATCAGCAACAGGTGAGAACATACATACAACAAGATGTTGTTTAATTCATTATGAATTGTTTCATTTTGTATGTGATTCGCGTGTCTATTAACTTGAAGAAAATAAATAGTATTAACTACATTTAAAAGCTTTTGCATTAATATCTGTAGTCTTTTCAATACTAATTAAAATCAACACAAAACATACATTTTATGAATAAATTATCTAGTTCCATGTCAATATTATAGTATTTATATTTTCACAGCAACAAGTCCAAATTAACCCGGCAACGGGCCAGCCAGACTACTCCCAGCAATGGATAGACTACTACCGCTCACTGGGTCTGATGCATGAGGCCGAAGCTGTAGAGCAGCAGGCCAAGCAGCAGAAGCAACAACAGCAGCAGCAACAGCAACAACAACAGCAGCAGCAACAACAACAACAAGGTTCAATAGTAGTGACAACAAAAATCTTTGACTTGTAGTATATTATTATTAATATTTATATACAATTAATGATTAAAATTTAATGCAGACTCAACTCCTATATTATTTATACAAGAACTATACATAGTTAAAAAAAATAATTTTTAATCGTTACATACTAGTTTTATGAAAACTCTATATACTTCTGTGTGAATTAAAAGTTATTACTATAAAAGATAGAAAGTATATAAGCATATAGAAGCTTGGTCGCACTTAGTGGAATTTTACTTCCTATTTCTAAGGCCACTGACTATTAATTCTAATTATTAAGTTACTAGCTGCGCACCGCGGTGTTACCCGCGGATTTTCGGGATTTCCGGGATGTAAAGTAGCCTATATGTTATTCCTGGACATCAGCTTCCTGTATACAAAATTTTATCGAAATTGGTTCTGCCGTTTGAGTGTGAAGAAGTAACAAACATACACACACACACAAACTTTCGCAATTATAATATTAGTAGGATAATCTAGTTATTAATATTAACAGGAGGAGGTTCGTCAGGTAGCGGCGCGGGTGGTTCTACGCCCGGCGCGGGGTCGCCTGCTCCCGTCGCCGACTACAGCGCTCAATGGGCTGAGTACTACAGGAGCATCGGCAAGACTAAGGAGGCTGAGGCTATAGAGACACAGATTAAACTTAAGGTACACTCAACACATACTTAGAGAGATATTTAATGTGAAAGGTGGCAAACGAACAGACGGCTTACTTGATAGTAGTGACCGTCGCCCATGAACACTCGAGCCAGAAGGCACCAGAGTGTGTTGCCGGCCTTTTAAAAAGAGGTACACTCTCTTCTTTTAGCACCCTAAGTCGTAATGGATTGGGAATATGTCGCGAGGCAGCTGATTCCACAGCTGATGGTGGTGCGTGGCAGAAAGTTTCTTTTGAAATGCACTGTGGTTTTTTTATGAAAAAGATGGCAAACGAACAGACGGCCTACTTGATAGGCAGTAGTGATCGTGAGACATCCGCAATTGAGATGTTACGGATGCAGTGCTAATATTGATTTTTGAGGAAAAGGGAGGATTGGGAATAGGGAAAAGGCAAGTTGATAGTAGGATGAAACTACATATGAATAGCATATGAGACGAAACCTCTTAGCATCCAATGTATTCACCGTGCGGGTGCCGGGTCCATCGTAAGGAGAGGAGCTTCAACTGTGACTAGGACTTGCGACCCAGGTGTAGGTTTAAGGGGCCCCTATTTAATGCGTTAAACGCTCACCTACACCGTCCAAGCTTCTCTCTCAACCTGAATAAATTTGGAAAGAATGTACTAGGGTTGCCTTTGAAGTAGAAATGATTAGTATTTTCGAACTTAATACGCTATTTTGATTTTACATTTAAATGCCTTTACATATAAATGATATCTAAGTACTTTCGTGATATACATTTAAATAAAACAAAAATTTTCGGATGTACTACGCGTATTTTATTGATGTAAATTAACCTACTAATAACGATTTGGTCACTTTGCAGCAACCATGATCACCGTTGACTATTAGTTTAATTTCAATGAATATGTACTTGAAATTCTTAGATATTATGACGAGACCGGAATTTATTTTCTCTATAGTCTATAGGTTAATAAATTGTATTTAAGACTTCTTAGTTACATAAACTTCTTTAGAGTCTTCGATAGACACTTAGCTGTTTATTATCTCGTATTGAGATAATACAGCTGCGTGCAAAAGTATTAGGCACCCCTATTGTTAGTCACTATCTCATTAGATAGCGGTCAAGTGTGTGTTTTATGGTTTAGCTATTGTATTAGCGGCAATTTTTAACCAAATTAAGGCAAAAGAAAATATTTATGACATCCAGATGTGCTCCTAAGCGGTGTTTCTTCGAATTTGCTTTTTTTGCGTTTCGGGTTATAGTGTGTTATCAGTGCTTGCAGTGAACATACACGTCTTCTACGCAACTATTCCTATCACAATTCTAAAGAATAACTAGTCTCAGGTTAAAATAGCCCAAGAAGTGACGTGCTCGCGATGTGCAGTTCAATATGCTATAAATTGCTTCAAAGAGACTGGCACCCATGAAAATAGACCAAGAACAGGCAGAAGAAAAGTTACTACTGAACGGGAAGATCGATTGTTGATTAGAAAGTCTCTACAAAACAGAAAAAAACTGCTTTAGAGCTCGCTGCAGCATTATCTGAGGCAAAAGGTAGCTCAGTGAATGTTTATACTGTGAGAAGAAGACTTCTTAAAGCTGGATTAAAAGGATGTAAAGCAAGGAAGAAGCCGTGGCTGTCAGAACACAATAAGAAAAATCGGTTGGAGTGGGCACTCAAACATAGAGATTGGTCAGTAGAAGATTGGTCCAACATACTGTGGTCAGACGAATCTAACTTTGAGGTAATGTTATTTATTTTATGTACAATATTAAAACACATACATGTTTTTAAAATAACGTACTGCAAGAAAAATAATAACTTTGAAAATAAATGGTTTTTTTTCGTTTGGCATAGGTGTTTGGAACACCCGGTGTGACTTATGTTAGGCGAAGGGTTGGCGAAGAATACAACCCAGAATGTGTGGTTCCCACTGTTAAGCATGGTGGAGGCTCAATAATGATCTGGGGCTGCATGGCTGCCGACGGAGTGGCCGAAATGGTGTTGTGTGAGGGTCGAATGAATAGTGTTAAATACACTGAAGTTCTGGAAACAGCACTAGCAACGTCGATAACGCAAATTTTCGGTGATACAAACACCGATGGCCTGAAATTTCAGCAAGACAACGCCACTTGCCACAAGTCCGCGCATACCATGAAGTGGTTTGCTGAAAATCATATTGATCTTTTGGACTGGCCACCACAATCACCAGACCTCAACCTGATTGAGCATATTTGGTCCATTTTAAAGAAAAATATCCGCAGGCACTCGATTAGCAATAAACAAGCTCTATTGGCCGCGTTACAGCAGGAATGGAAAAATATATCAAGAGAAGAATGTTTCAAGCTGGTAGAGTCAATGCCAGAAAGAGTGGCTGCGGTTATTAAATCAAAAGGTGGACCTACAAAATATTAATTATTTTCTTAAAATAAACCATTGTAATCATAAATGCAGTTTTATTTACACTCGCTATGCTAAAACACCCTAAAACTTGTCTTACTGTAGGGTGCCTAATACTTTTGCCCGTGGCTGTATTAAAATATTAATTTCTGCCTACAAGTACAGCTAAATATCATTTTAGTGAATACTAATTTAATACTTCCTACGACTAGTGAAATATTCTATATTTACTGTCATCCCAAATTTGTTGTTGTTGTAATTAACTCTCAACTCTGTCATTCCAGCAACAGCAACCAGCAGCCAATGTATCTCAACCAGCCCAGGCCACTCCTCCGAACTCTTCATCCTCCGTCAACAATCAGTATGGACAGTATGGAGGTGGTTACCCGCCAGTTTACCCTTATCCTTACCCTTACCCGGGGGTAGATCAACAACAGCATCAACAATGTGAGTAGTGTGAGTAATCCCCTTTATATACTTACTCAACGCTTACTATATACATTCTACTTACTATATACTTATTATGACCGCTTACTTGATATACATTAAACATCATGCCTTATTATTTCTTTAGTTATATATATTTTTTTCACTTATCTAATCTGTGCCCTTTTAAAATGTTTGTTATAAAAGTTCTACATTCAATGTGTTAAATTAAGCAACATTCATCGTTATACCATGATATATGTCGGCCTAAGAATGAATATTGTATAATTTTATTTATGTATACATATATATATTATTTGGCTTCATATGATGTGTTATAGATATCAAAAGTTTATCTTGCAGGGATGTCGGTTGTGCATGTTATATGTAAATTATTTTGCACGTATTTTTAATTATGTATAATGTTTGTATGTAATATTAAATGGCCGTCGTGCATATAAAGCTGAATGTGAGTGTGTAGTGTTGCAGATGTAGTCAGCAGTGCCGGGGTCACAGCGACTGTCACATTATATACATGAAGTTGCCATGTCCGTTTGTTTGTCTGTTTACAGAGACCGGCCGGCCGTACCTCGGAAACTAGAAGATACAACTCCATTTTAGATCCTAAACTTAGTATAAGCAACATTTTAAATAATTAACACCCACAATAAATAATCATAATATTGCTTGTTCGATAACGGTATCATCTTTAATATATAAATAAATCGACATATCTTTATTTCTTGTGGGTTGAACGGAATACTGTGAGTCATATACATACATGAGATTATTTTTTACGTCTGACCGCTAATTTTAACTATAGGGCCGTGTGGTATAATCGTTTATCAATGTGTTCGTGTATGCCGGTTTTGATAATGTGCCAGTCTGTCCAGGTTTTAACTTAATGCCACACTGCCTATAACCGATGTAACAGAGAGGTCCGGAGCTTATAGGAAACAGAGTATTGAGAAAAATACAACGCCGCCGGAGATATGAGGTAAATGCACCGACGAGTGAAGTAGCTATCACACAACATTGGTACATAATATGTATTACAGAATCGAAGTTCTTATCACTATTAACAATATATATATATGATGATTGTTTTAAATAACCTCATTCGTATAAGAAATGTTTAGTTTTAAGTGTGGGATGTCGCGGACTGTCTCGGTTCAGATTACATTAGGTTTTATAGTTACATGACCTAGATATATGTTAATTGAATAAAAAAACAACCTAGCTTTGGTAATTAGGCGTATTAAGTATCGAATGGATATATAACTAGCTAATATTGTTTACACAATAGGGGCTGTTTGAAGAACTATAGTTCGGCGGGTGTTTACCGATTTAATTGTATTTAATATTAAGATATAAAGTGTATGTTGATTGACGTGTTCATTTTATTTATAAACTTTTTCTCTCCACAGACCCTTCAGGTAAGTGTCCCTAATATAAACGAGATGAATAAATGACCATTTTTGATGAATATTATACGATCGATTCTCTCTGTTCTGTGTGCTGCTCTGTATTGAGCTATATTTTTTTTTCTCTTATAATACTTCACCTGATGAAATGTGTTTTTGTGCATTATTGATATTGATTTAGTGGTTTTTTATAATGATTACCTCACCTGTTTATTTTTATTTGATTATATTTAATATTTGTTTTGTACTGTGTCGCCAATTTCATGCAATATATATTTTTTATTATAAAAAGAAGCGGCCGATTGCTGTCGATATTTTTTTCGTATGAATGACGTGTGATAATTTTTTAATGCCATATAATAATGTTCAACCTATATTTGAAATGTTGACTTCATTTTATTGTACTGCAATTATATTTTCATCATATTATGATGTTTGTCTGCTGTTGTCGGTCTGTTAAAGGTCACAGTGGCTTCCATATATTATAAAAGCTAATTTAATGACGGTTGATCTTGGATTGGGATGAAATGGTACCTTTGTCGCAGTTGAGCAAAGTAATATATGTTAACAACGATATGCCGACGAGTGCTGTAAATGATCTATGGTAAGTTGTATAGTATGTAGTAAAAGGTGGTATTACTGTAATACAAAATGATTTTGCAACATATATTTTCACACTACTCTTGAATGTGCATAACCTCTTGCATTGAATATAATATGAGAACGTTCATTACTAATACAACATCAAATATTGCATATAATTTAATATTTTGTTACCGCATTTTTACACATGAAAATGAAAATTTAATTTTTTGGCAATAATATTGATTAAAATATGTCAATTTGGCGCCATTTTAACCTTAGATTATAACATATAGGGGAGGGTTTTAAAAATTGCCATATACAATTGAGTCAAAATTATTTAAAAATATTGTAAGCAATAATAGTGTTTGTTGTTAATATTTTATTAAATAAAATTGATACTTTTTTGGGGCTAAATATAAACATTTAATTTTCACCGGAGTAAAAACGACGTGCTAATAAAAAGATGAAGTATACTTTGTTGTTTTATTTGATTGAAGTAAAACTACATATAATTACATGAGAAATTACACGATGACCGACACATTTTATTTTCTTAATAATTACATCGAGTTACACATTTTTATCTTTACTTGAAAAAAATTCAACAACCTATAAACCATAAATTCTGGAAAAATATTATATAAACTATGAACACTTTCGTAGTTCTGAATATTTCTCTAATACTTCCGAGGGCTGCTCTCTGAAGATGAATTAGTATTGTAGGACACTGAACTGCTTGATGATCGTATGAGATGTGAAAGTCTTGATAGTGACGCGGTCGCCCAGGGCTCGAGGGGACTGCCAGCTTCTAATATCGGAGACACCCTACAATATTATTAACATAGATATATTTATTTGCTTCTATGGTATGCAGATCGTAAATGCCTCATGAACTAATATGTTTGAGGTACAGTTTCAGAATTGTTTTTCAATATTTCTTACACTAAAGTCCTACAAAATGGATAAAGCCAGTATTTATAGTTTCAAATACAAGTTGATACTTAAATGTTGCCATTACAATAGTTCAGTATTAAAATTAATTATAGCCAGTCTTTTATAATTCTAATAATTATTGTTTATTTAGGATTCTAACAAAATCCTTATAAAAATATAGTTTTCTTATAAAGCCAGTACTTTTAAATAACAATAAAACCTTAACTAGAGCAAACTAATTATTATCTTATGCTAAAACACCTTAAATGAGTTAAATTCTATTTACAATAATATAAGTCTTGTTCACAACATACTTTCCCGCGTTAAAAGAACAATTCAAGCATCATCGCTATAATATCACTTCAGATGCTTTCGGGAATATAAAGGTTCAGTTCGAATAAAGTGTGTTCCCTAAATGTATATTATAATTTGTATGACAGGGATTGACAAACTTGTAACAATAATTCCCAACATCAATGTAAGATTTTCGTAATTATAATTAAGGTTTATCCACTTATTATCGTAGTTTTTATTTATGGGCTATAAATTACCTGTTACGTCTGGCTTTGGCGGTTTTGGGTCGAGTTTTCGTAGTGACTTTGACTTTTCGAACGGGCGCTGGTCCATCCACTTCAACTCCATTTCCAGATTCTAAAACGTATTCGAACAGTACCTACTAATATTATAAATGCGAAAGTTTGTGAGTGTGTGTGTATGTTTGTTACTGCTTCACGCTCAAACGGCTGAACCGATTTTGATAAAATTTTGTATAAAGGAAGCTGACGTCCAGGAATAACACATAGGCTTAACATCCCGGAAATCCGCGGGTAACACAGCTAGTTTTAAATAAATCTGAACCCTAGAACTTCAGATTAGTTTTTTTAAATTATGTACACGAAAAAGTAGTTTTGTTTATACTGGACTGAAATAATTTTTCATGAGCATGAAAGCGGTCAATACTGCTCGACTGTTTAAATATACAAAAATAACGTTTTTTTTTTACCTTTAATAAACACAATATGCTCGTTTTGCGCCGCTGGGGGTGTTAATGCATGTTGAATACATAGCGGTCTGACAGCTCGTAGAGTTTCGTCCTGCCTGCCTCTTATTGTTCTAAAATGTTTAACATCTGTTTATTAGGTAAAAACATCTTTCAAATTCTAGCCTACTAAATAGCTGCAATGTGGACATTATATTTGAAAATACAAAAATTTTAAGAAATCAATTTCTCCTCAGCGTGGAAACTTGCCAATGATTAAACTCAGGTCATTTCTGAAAAAGTTCTTTCACTTATAGTCGTGTAATGTAGACATAGGCTTTATTATTGTGAAATAATACTTACGAGCTGTTTCCTGAACTGGCTTGATCTTCTAATGGTGTGTCGCTTTCCACAGCGCTACTCTCCGATGCAACGAAGTACATAGATCTGTTTGTATAAAAAAAATTGTTACTTTCGTCAAATAAATTTCTTAGAATGAGGAATATAGAGGAAGTTAAGTCACTATTTAAGCTGTAGACGGATGATAATTGTTATTGTTTGAAGATAATCTTTCGTTCACAACAAGTAAATAAACAGTTCAATTACTGGTTAAAATTACTACACCATTTGGGACGATGTTGAGAAAGAGCAAATGAAGGTAAAGTTCTAGGTACAGAAGTTCCCTTTTTGCACAAGATATTAGATTTGTTGGCTTGTATACAGAGGAAGCTTTGAAACCCTACGTTATTCATCCTGAATGTCTGAATAGACTCGAATTTATAGCTAAAAAATATTATCGATCTGATAGGTGAGCTTGTAAACATCCTTGCTATTAAAATGTGTAGAGATTGTCTAATCTTACAATGGTATAGATAAACTTTTAAACTAATTCTCTTAAAAAAATATAGATGTGTAAAAGACTAAAAATTTAATTAAGTAACCGGCACGAGGACAAATCTTTTTGGAACGATTTAAAATTTAAACCATATTCAATTATCCACATAAATCTTAAGTCTTCCTATAATTTTCATCACCTCGTAAATATCATATCATTTAATCAGCTGTTTTTCTTTTTATTTGTAAGAAAAATTGTATTACCTCGCGGGGA